AATGCCAACAATGGCAACAATGCTAACACTGGAGGAAATGCCAACACCGGTGGCAATACCGACAACGGAGGCAATACCAACACTGGAGGCAATACCAACACTGGAGGCAATACCAACACTGGAGGCAATGCCAACAACGGAGACAATACCGACAACGGAGGCAATGCCAACAACGGAGACAATACCAATGGTAACGGCGGGGCTGCTGATACAACTTCTGCAGCTGACGCCGCTGCTACAACCGATGCCGCCGCTGATGCAACTTCGGCAGCTGACGCCACTGCTACAACCGATGCCGCTGCTGATACAACTGATGCCGCCGCTACGACCGAAGCCGCCGCTGCCACGACTACCGCAGCTACAAAAAACGGTGGCAAAGGTGGCAAGGGACGCGGAGGAAAGGGAAACCAAAGCGGGAACACCAATGGCAACACGAATGGCAACGGTGACGCTGCAGCTTCGTCAGTAGTCGACAACAATAACGCTGCCACTACCGCTGCTGATGTCCCAGCCACCTCTAGCACCGCCATCGCAATGAACAAGGCCGGCAATCTCGGTGGAGCCGCGCCACCAGTGCTTAACAGTGGTGACGCCAAGCGACCCTTCTGTGTCAAAGACAACACCTTCACGAACCGCGCCACGGCAGTGCAGCGCTCATGTGACATCCAGTTCAATGCGTGCGCCGATGCGATGAACGGTGGGAAGCTGCCGGGGGTCACAATGTCGGACTGCAATGCGCAGAAGCAAGCGTGCAGCAAGCAGGGATAGTGGCTGGTTTGGAATCGGGTGTCTGTATAAGTAGATTGGAGGTGATGCCTCGTTGTCTGTTTGTTTTCCATTTCATGAAGATGACTCGGGGTTTTTTTTTAGGATTTTATCAATATATATGTGGTGCTTATGATTATAAATTGCTATATGTGATTCCTACTTGCTCTCACCATGCTTAGTCTTTAGACACGAAACGGAATAAACTCCGAGAGAAGGTGGGGTTATCCCATGACGTTTTTCGGATAAGACATCCCCGTCTGCCCCCGCACCCCACCAACGTCTTTGAGTAAACAAATCTGCAGCACAATCATCAGGGGCACCTATAACTATTTTAACATGCCTACCTCCAAAGTTATTATCCTCACGGGCGCCTCGCGCGGAATTGGCCTCGCTGCCGCAAAATTCCTACTTCAGGAAGGACACCGGCTCGTCGTCGTAGCGCGGACCGCGGGGCCAATGGAGGAGTTGAAGGGCGGATTCCCAGGAAAGGTCGAGATCGTTGTTGGGGATGCAACAGGGGAGGAGGTGAGTTCTTTGCCATCGTTAGATAGGAAGCGGAGCATATCAGAACTGACATGGCATTGCCCGGCTTAGGTCTCCCAGAAGGCGGTATCCCTCGCGCTCAGCTCCTTCTCGCGACTCGACGGCCTCATTCTTAACCATGGCACTCTCGAGCCAGTAGCCCGCATCGCTGATGCTACTGCCTCCGCCTGGCGCGCCGCATTTGACACCAATGTCTTCAGCTGCATCTCGTTTATACAGGCTGCCCTGCCGTCACTGCGGGAGTCAGGCGGCCGCATCATCGCCGTCTCTTCTGGCGCAGCCACAAATTCGTACGCGGGATGGGGTGCGTACGGCGCGACGAAGGCGGCGCTGAATCACATTGTTGGCACGGTGGAGAGAGAAGAGGGGAGCAAGGGCGTTGTTGCTGTGGCGGTGAGGCCAGGAGTTGTTGATACGGAGATGCAGAGGGATATTAGGGAAGTCCACGGGGCTGGGATGGATGAGGGGGATGTGGCACGGTTTAAGGGACTTAAGGAGGAGGGGGGTTTACTGAGGCCGGAACAGCCTGGGAATGTGCTTGGGCGACTGGCGGTAGAGGCGGAGAAAGAACTTGGAGGGAAGTTTCTCAGGTATGTGGATTCATTTGTCACGGCGGGGATTTCGAAGACAGGCAGTTTCTTTGGAAAGCTGATTTATTATGCTATGACTGGGCTAACCTATGTAGCTGGAATGCACCTGAACTTGTCAAGTTCCAGGACAAGCAGTGATGAGACCGTACAGAGAAATCACTTTTGGATATGTCAGCGAATTCCAAGGATATGACAATAGAATAGACATATAGTGGGGTTGGGCTTCAGTTGAAAGATGAAAAGTCTCGAAGTTTATCAGCATCAGACGAATGTCTTCAGCATTAGCATGGAATGTTACATCATAAGCCGGAATAGAAAGATGAAATGTTGAATATTTACCTTGTTGTATCGAGGTTAAGTGATTCGGCCTGACATGATCATGGCCGAATGGAAACTGGACAGTATACCGCTCCAGTGCACTTGCAAACTGGCCAATGCTGTCTTTCGAGTGGGATCCAACAGAGTCGACTTAAAACCTAATAATCTTTTGGCTAGTTAGCAAATGTATTCAGAAACACATATCAAGAAGCTAAGTAATATTGAAGTACGTTCAGACGGTCCGTTTGGTTAAGACAGGTTAATCACCATCTAGAGCCGAAGCTCATGTAAGATAGGGGCGACACGAAATTTCATCAGAGTAAAAAGGTAGGATGTTTGAGGAGAAAATAAGCTTACCAGTGATGGCCATTGATCCACGATTTGTGCTCCAATGTTAGCCTGAAATAAAAGCAGTGTCATAGTAAAATAGATTCTCCAAAAGAGAACCCATTACGCTTGGAAAGCTCGAGTGCTGAGGAGCGCAGCTTGTGATTGTATTGATGAAGAAGAAAAAGAGAAAGAGAAAGCAAAAGAGAAAAAGAACAAAATATCAAGAAGATTGTCGCGTAAAAAGCGGGAACTTCCGCCAAGCCTTTACCAGTTGTGCTAGCCGCAGCCTCGTGGGACTGAGACGCATAATTACGTTCGCGCGTGAGGCTACGACTCTTAAATTTCTCTCTATTCACAGCTCATGATCGACTTCTAAAGGAACTCGCATCTTCCACGATCTTCTTTATTTCTGATCTTATTACTCACGCGTTTTTGACTTCACCTCCGAAATCGTTGAAAGAACAATAAGCTGATTCGCGTCGATACGCGGGGAACAAGGTCTCATCTCTGCCGTAATGTCGGACAGAGAATTTGGAGGTATGCTCATTCTATTCTACCCACAGAAAGCGAACGGTGCCGCGCTGCGCTTGCGTCTCCTATTCGCGTCTCCTATCCACGTCAAATGGCGCCATGGGGTAGCGCTGAGGGCTTGGAGACGCGGGCGATGAGCTGTTCCTTTCGCGTTGCCCCTCCATCGCTCCTGCCCTCTGGGTGTGACCCATGCTGACTCTATCTTAGGAAACGATGATCTCTCTCTTCCCAAAGGTATAGCATACTACTTTCTTTATATTGCGAATATTGCGGGCTCAGCTTGAGCGAATACTATCACTACCATCGTTTGTACCGGACAACCAGCGCTCTGGCTGCCGCTTATCTCATAACGATCGTTAAGAGCCAAAGAAATCATCACAACATGGCCTCGGTGAGGCGCCCCCTATCTCTCGAAACTCGAGTCTTTAGGATCCGAAGGGCGCATGCGAACCATTCGTATGGTCGACAATACAGTTCTCAACACGCCCGACAACTCCTTTCGCGTCTTGAGGCAGATATTACTTTGCCTCCAGGATTCCTGGTTCCAGTTGCTTTACCGAGAGTACGGTTATACGGTGAAGATGTCGCGCCCCCAAACCAACACGCGACTGGCAATACTGGTCAACGAGATCTTGCGTCAGACCGAACTTTTAAAACCCGCGAAAAGGCCGATTTGGGTCCAGAAGGGAGACAGCGTCTAAAACAAAGGCCCAAGAAAACTCCACGGAGCATATCAAAGGACAAGCCACGACCCCTAAGCAGACTTCGAGTGTCATGGTCTCACGCATGCCCCGGGGAAGATTGCGTCGAGTCTCTCTGCGATTTAGACGTTGAACCTACTTTGGAAGACACCATGCCCTGTGCCTCAACTGGACTGAGCACAGGCGCTTTCCTTGATTACGAAGTCCCAGAGCTTGGATCCCATGCTCTTCCATCACTTCAACTGGTCGACACGCTTTATACTTCTGCTTTGAACGCTGGTTTAGATGATTGTTGGAATTTACTTACAGAACTATTGGTGGACGTTGGCTAACTTTTCATTCATAGCAACCGTCCAGAAAATCGTAACTGAAATTCTTCCGCCCTCATCAGGCGTTGCATTTGGGAAAGATGCTCGCGACCTTCTCATAGAATGCTGCGTCGAATTCATCACGCTCATCTCGTCAGAGGCGAACGAGATTTCAGAGAAAGAGGCCAAGAAGACCATCGCATGCGAACACATCACGAAGGCATTGGAACAGCTTGGATTTAGCGAGTATGTGGCCGACATTTTAGATGTGGCGAATGATCACAAGGAGCAGTTGAAGGTTGGTTCCAGAAGCCTCACATTTCGTAGAATACACTGCTGACAGTATTTAGGGCCGCGAGAAGAAGGCGAATAAACTTGAGCAGAGTGGACTCTCGACTGAGCAGCTGCTTGCAATGCAAGAGGCTGCATTTAAGGAGGCAGCTGAGAGACACGGCTGACCTGGATGTATAAAGATATGTCGTTGCATTATCAGGCGTTGGCGTTGGGTCTATGGCAATGGAGAACGGGAATGGTATGGGCATGGTGAACGGGGACTTTCTATGGTAATTATGGCACTAGATTGCCATTTGAGCAGTTTCATAAGAATCACCTCAGGTAGCATCGAGTACAGCTACCAGACAGCGATTAACTCGGGGGTCCTGTTCCGCGTTTGCTTCGTCTCACTGTATAAATTTCTCTGTATTTGCGCCCTCCGTAATCGATGATATTGAATGTCGCAGACATACAAGGTATCAATAATTTAACTCACACGCCCATTTAAAGCTCTTCAACTAGCCTTTTATATAGTTTCTCTGAGTATACCCTTATTTTTGCTGTGATATTGGTCCCGTAGCTCCGATAGCTACCCTGGAATCCTCGGTCCGAGCCCGTGCACTACCGACGTCATAAATTTGTTCCACGACGGATGTGCTCCAGAAACATTGGGCTTCTTTCCATCACAATCACAGACAACACAAAATGCCGCCTATATCCGTCCGGCCAGCTTTTGCAAGCAGTGTCCGAGCTCTCACACACAATGCCACCCCGCGTGTTTCTCAACTGACACCTCGCGTGTCCCAAGCCATCTCGCGGCGCTTCAAGTCTGGACCATACGGGTACACCCAGGCCAAAGCGCTCGTCTACAGCCAAAACGGAGAGCCCTCCGATGTTCTCTCGTGCGAATCCCCTTCATCTCCCATACCTGCGCCTAGCTAACCCATCCAAGCCTGCACACGCACTCGATCTCCCCCTCCCTGCCCTCCAACGCGCTCCTCCTCCGCAGTCTCGCCGCCCCCATCAACCCCGCGGACATAAACCAGATCCAGGGCGTGTACCCCTCGCGCCCGCCCTTCACGGCTCTTCTCGGAACCGCTGTCCCCTCCGCCATCGCTGGCAACGAGGCATGTTTCGAGGTCATGCGCGTCGGGTCCGGGGTGAAGGATTTTGCGCCTGGAGACTGGGCGATTGCGCGCGCGCCGTGTCTCGGGACCTGGCGCACGCATGTTGAGGCGCAGGAGGATTCTCTGCTTCGCGTTGAGAAGGAGGGGCTGACGCCTGTGCAAGTGGGGACGGTGGGGGTGAACCCAACCACGGCGTATAGGATGTTAAAGGATTTTGAGCATGTGGGAGAAGGGGAGTGGTTCATTCAGAATGGGGCGAATAGCGGGGTTGGGCGGGCGGCGATACAGTTGGGGAGGTTGTGGGGGATGAAGAGCATTAATATTATCCGTGAACGTGGAACGGAGGAGGAGACGGAGGCGATGAGGAACGAGTTGAGAGGATTGGGGGCCACGCATGTGGTTACAGAAGGGGAGCTGATGGCACGGGGCTTTTCTGAGCAGGTCAAGGAGTGGACGGTTGGTGGGCGCCAGAAGGTGAAGCTGGGCCTCAATTGCGTAGGGGGCAAGCCGACATCGGCAATGGTGAAGTGCCTGAGCGATGGCGGGCACCTGGTGACATATGGCGGGATGGCAAAGGCGCCACTGCAGGTGCCGACTGCGGCACTGATATTCAAAGATGTCAAGTTCAGCGGGTTCTGGGTTAGCCGCTGGAGCGAGAAGAACCTGGATGAAAAGCGCCGGACGGTGGGGGAGATTCTGGAGCTTACCCGCGCGGGGATGTTCGCTGATGTGCCGGTGCAGAAGGTGCAGTGGGATTGGGACACCAAGGAAGAGACGCTGAAGGAGGCGGTGACGGGGACGCTGCAGGGGTTTAGGAAGGGGAAGGGAGTGTTCGTGTTTGGTGATACTTGAGGGCTGATGCAGAGCAAGATAGACTCGCGCATTGTAGTGTAAAAACTTGTATGACCATAAAGCAGAGAGTGAAAGGCTACCTTTGCAGGGAATAATCTAACCAAAAATATATATCCCATCAGGAGCTATCCTGGGAATACAGTTTCCTAACCATGCGTATTGTTTTGGTCACGCCCTGACACAAAAATGCAATTCCCGGCAACAAATGGGCGCCAATCCAATTCCCAAAACTAGACACATCGAACAAAAGGGTATAAGACCACAAATTTACCGAATCCCCCTCCTTAATCCACCCATCTCCCATTACGGCCTGTTCAAGCTAACTGCCTCCTCAACCAACACACCGTCCCCTCATTTGATATTCTTGAACATATCCCCATCTAGCCCCTCCTGCTCGCCACTCTTAACACCCAGCGCGCTGATCTCCGGCAAGCTCGGTGCAGCAGGCTCGTCCTTCTCTCTGCGTTCCTCGTACACAACGCTGGTGCGTTTCCTCTCGCGCTCCTCGCTGTCTCCCACAAAACGGCGCCACCAGCTCCCGCTGCGCTTCTGTCCGCTTGTCGGTGCCATGCTAAGACTGCTCAACGGACGCGCGGGCGGCGCACCCTCATCGGGCGCGGAGCCATTGAGGCTGCGTCGTGACAGGAAACGACGGATGCTGCCCGGGCGGCGCGGAGAGGTCATGCTCATGGGCGAAAGGAGGCCGTTTGTGGGCGAACCTGGCTCGCGGCCGCGCGATTGCTCGTCATCTGGTTTTGAGGTGGTGGAGATGGCGGAGGGCGCTTTAGCGGGTGGCGGGGGCGCCTCGGCGATGGGGGAGTCGGGAGGAGGAGGGATGTCGGTGCCTGCTGTGAGGGAGTCGAGGGGCGCGAGGACGGGAAGCTCGAATTTGCGCGACGGGGTGGTGGTGGTGGCTGGCATTGTGGTGAGTGGTTGTTGTTGAAGATTTGGGTGTGGGTTCTAGTTGTGTGGGGAAGCTCTCATGCACTGTGATGTAAGGTTTCCGGAGATGCGGATGCGAGGGACAACGGTCGATATATATTTTTCTCCAGAGGATCGCAAGCCTGACGGCGTTCGTTTGCAACTGCGAGTTGGAAGGAGTTGGTCAATCGATCGGGTCTGCTTGTGCGAAGCCTGAGATCTCAACGGAAGTCACACGAAGATCTACTTGCATGCGAGCGCGAGATGAGGAGGTTGCACAATAACCGCGATGGCATTGAGGGAGAGAATAGCGGTATAACAGGGAGAGAGTATGAAGCGATTGTAAGAACTGTGAGAGAGCGCGACGCGCAAAATAGTTATGCTCGTGTGTGAAGTGAAGGCGATGGCTTGCCCGACAATAATGTAAACGTTTTTGCCGTGAGTTAGTAATTATGTCCTGGTTATCCACGAAGTCTCCACGACTTCTGAGCCTCCGTTGGCTCAATGCAGAGGAGCTTGTGTTGTGGCGAGCGAATTGGCCAATCAAAGTGGGGCGCCGTTGTGGATAAGGGGCAGAAGTCGTAGCATCGCCCGTTTGTCTGTTGAGTCTCCGAGAAACGTTGGCTTAACATGATGACCAAGATGAGAGAAATATCAGGTGTTCAGATACCTTCAGCTTCGCTTTTCTCTGTGTCCGCGCAGATACCGTTGATATTCCACAGTGTCCAATCGAGGAAGGCATTCACTTTGCAGGATATCCTTCCAGAATCATGAGAATCATTCCCGCATAGGGGTGCTTTCCACGTGGCGTTCGACTCAGGGTCTCAAAAAAATCTCAACACAATCCCAAGGGTTCAATGGTAAGGGTTATCCAAAAAGTTCCTGGATATGCTGTAGAGCGGACGTCAAAATACGTCCCGAAAACTCCTCGAGGCGCCGTCAATGCTAGTCCCCTATATCATAATGGGTATCCTGTTCGCCCCGTGGTCCAGCCAGTCCATGCCCGCATGCCCAATATATAAAACAAAGCATTATCCATTATCCATTACTCATCATCCATCATCCGTCATCCATATAGCGCAAAATCCCAACCTTCTAATATAACACGCCAACATGCGAAACCTGCAAATGCTATACATCAAAGATAAATCAGTAAAAGGAGGGGCCATATGTTCCGTACGCCATAGGCCCTAGTAAGGCGTTCTCATCGTCCATCCAGGAGACTTCATCTGGCAGATAAAATTCTCCGTAGATATTCACCACCGGCTCCTGCTGTGATAAACACTGCGGATTCGGACAGATCCCAGAATTCGACCTCTCGGCGCAGAATGTCATACACGCCAGGCACACTAGTCTCATCGGGTCAAATGCCATCGGCCGGAAGCCGTGACAGTGGTGTGTATGATCAAGCAGCTGTTGTGATGAGCTAAAGGTGTTCTGGCAATTTTCTGGGTCGCAAAGACACATATAGTAGTGATATGGCCCGTTGGGGCCCAACATTTCTATCTCTGTCGCGAGGAGATACGTTCGATCTGTTTTGATGGTGCTGAATTGCCGTCGTGCAATAGACGGAGGATCGAAGGATTGGAATGGATTGCTGGGGTGGAGAGGGCTGCATTGAGCGACCTCCTCTGGTTCTAGTAGTGAGTCCTCGAAGTCACCTTCGTTGATTGTGCTTGGGTATATGCTATCTGGTATCGTGTGAATATCAAGCTTGTTTGCCGCATTATCGATGTTCTCCAAGATAGTCGACTTCTGCTCTTCCTTTATCGCATCTTCTTCAATTTGATGAAAGCCAGAAAGGGGATCAGATCCCTTTGCTTCAGAGTCGTAATCCAATGCCCACTGAACGTCCGATTCGTTCTGTTCATCGTGATTCCCGTCTAGGATATCCTCTAGGGCGTGATGGGACAAAGAACACTGCATGCGTGCATTAGTATTTGTATAGAAGACAAGAACGAGCTGATCGGATTATGCATACCTTCACTTTCCTCTTCCTGCAATCACCCAGGCAACTCCCAAGGTACCGGATCAGTGCCTTCTGGGCCTTCATCGCAGGGCAGAGTGCCTTCTTCGTTGGCTCCGACAAGAAATTCCCATCTTGCTGGCTCCATACAACTGTGTAATCAGTGTGGCTCGTCGCGTAAGATGCCTCACTCAGTGGGGGCGGAAACGTTCGCGACGCAGATGACAAAGATCCCTGGGAGCTGTGGGATGCTTGGAAGGGAGAGCTGGACTCGAGGCTGGTAGGGACGGGGACGCCTTGTAGTTTCACAGCCATGCGATAACTGCGTAGTTTTTCGCGGGCCCCAATGACTTTGTGAGGTTCGATTCGCTTCGTTCCTGGGCGGTAAGGAAGATTTGAAGGCCTTGGACGAGGCAGAGGGACCGAGGCAACTCTCGAGCTATAAGACATGATGTCGTCGGCTGTGTTTCAACAGGTGTGTATATTATATCCAAACGGTTTCGCTGGGCTAGGGGATCCGGAGATGTGTGGAATCTGCGAGGGCGGGAAGCGGGATGTCTGGTCTTTCACTGAGGGGCAGGAAGGCGGCCAGAAGCAGAGGCGGAGCTGGATCGAGTGTGCTGGTTGCTAGTCCGACAAACGAAATGTGAATATGGAGTGGAGAATAGATGGAAGAACTCGATTCAAGTGATGCTTCGAGGTAATCTGTGACGCGTTCATAAATTCGTGGCTTGTCAAAGGGAAAGTCGCATCGGAGTATCGTCTTGGGCCATCGGCGCGGCTGGAGGATGGATGGATTCGACGTTTAGTGTTCTTCGGACGAGATGTCGCACAATGATACTTGTTACGCGAGGTGTAGATGAAGTCGGACAGCGGATGCCGCAGAGATTTCTTGAGTTGCGAGAGAGTGGAGTGTGTTTGGTGGTTTGGGAAGGCTGTGTTGCACTTTCGCTCAGTGGGCTGCAGAGAGGACGAGGATGGCGGGGGAGGGAGAACAACAGAGAGTGAGAGAGGAAGGCAAGGAGATGGGATATATGTAGGAATGAGAGTTTGGGTTACCTTTGGGTGAATGAATATGTGTATGTCCAGTGTAAAGATGCGTGGCCACCGCTTTTTCGGAGTGAAATATGAGAGAGGAGGGAGGGGGGTCGAGGCGAACCACGCAGATAAATGTGTTCGACTTGGTTTTTGGTGGTGGTCCGCGCAATCGGGCGTCTTTGCGGTGGTTCGCAATCTGGGAGTGCGAGTACTCGCGAAACCAACTTTTTAGCCAGTGGGAACAGCGACGGGTGATCGACAAATACCTCGTCATCCCGCCCTTCACCCAGCGTTTCGCAGTAACAATTTTGTATTTCTAACAATCCGCGTTGGTGTATACAACTCCGTATAATAATTAAGTGCACATACTGTAATGTGAAAACTGCCAAATTAATCAGTCAGTCAGCTGTGCAGGGCATACTTCATTCCTCATCTTCACATAAACACAGAGAACAGTACACTGCCTTTCTTGCCAGTACGGCGTGAACGAGCGGAGTATACGATGACGATGGCGAGCACCGCTCATGATGCACAGTCCAAGGCACAGAGTGCAACGGCATAGACCACAGTTCGCAGCTCTAGACCCTCGGATTCTGCACCATGTAGGGACAGCAAATCCTCCGTCATCATTCACCGGCTGGTTGCCCTCACAAAATATCTTCATAATCACCAGCTGCCTTGACCGGTGACATGGATATAGTACAAGACACTGCCCTGGGCCTGCCAGCTGGAACCCGACAAAGGGATCAATGACATGTGTGGCTGCAATGCTTATTATTATTATGTAGAAGCTAAAGCCCGTCTCCTGTTCCAGACCCAAAATCATGATGATCGTAATTCGTAGCTGTGTCTCCGCACCAGTCCAGGCCAGTCCATATGGTTTCAGCCAATCTCATCAGGTCTCCAATCAAACAGATCAAACGCCTCGCGACTCCACGGTCCAGAATCACTGCGCACTGGAGGAACCCCGCTCTCCGCCACCTTCCCCGCGCTCTTGCGCGCAATCGGCGGTCTTCGTCGCAATGAGACATCCTCCAGCGGCTGCGCCTTCGCAGAGACAAACCGCGGCGTTTCAACGTCCTGTGCAGCAACCCTATGCTGCGCCATGCCCCCCATGCCCCAACTGACGTCGCTTACTTCACGTCTCTGTGGCACCTGGACTGGGAGGGTTTGAATCACAACCGGCTCTTTGGGAGCACCTACCCAGCCTACGACTATCTTGCTACGAGCTGTTTTGCTGGTCTTGAGTAGTTGGGGTTTTGTAATCTGGGTTCTTTTGGGAGGAGCATCCACGGGAAGATCCTTCGGCGAAGATGTGGTCGCCGTTAACGTATTAGTTGCAATTGGAGAGACCTCCGACCGTCTCCTGCCACTCGTCCTGGTCTGAGGAACTTTCGCGTCTGCTGTCCTAGTCTGGGGAGCTGTCACTTCTGCTGTCCTAGTTTGGGGAACCTTAGTTTCTGCCGTCGTCTCTGGTACCATTGGAGCATATGGCTTAATGGAAGTAGTTTCTAATGCCACACCCTCTCTCGATGCGAGTCTATCAGCGACACTTCTCAGCAGTTCGAAGGCTGGCTCCGAGGATTGAGGTGCTGGTTCCGGCGATCGACGTGAGATTCGACTCGTAGTGCCTTTGGTTGGAAGAGGGAGAAGCTCTTCAGCCACAGTCGGGTGATCCTGATGTGCCCTTCGTTCCGATTGTGGCTGCCGAGATGGGGGTTCTTTGGAGACTTTGGGGACTGACATATCTGGCTTGGGTGGTAAAGAGTCGACAACTTTACCGGCAAAGCCTCTAATATCGTCAAATGCATCGTCAGCTTCAGATGCAACATCGTCATCCTGTTCAACAGCAGCTTTACGTCTCACAGCCCGTGATCTCAGCTGTTCTTTCTGTTGTGCATGGAATTTATCCAATTTCTTCGTTGCCTGTGACTGCTCTGGAACAACATCTTCCGCTGGCGAAATTGGCCTGGGGTTGGTCTGAGCGGGAGATGGTTGTGGCTGTCTGCTATCATTTAAAACCAACATCTTCCTTTTTGGTCTGGATTTGAGACGAATGGAGCCGACTGTCTCAGGCGGGCCATTCGTCACATCTGGGTCAGGCTCGGAAGCTTTGATAGGCACTATAGGTACTGGCCTCCGAGGTTCTTTTGGCGGAGGCACTTCGGGAGATGGGGAGATATTTATCGCATGCAGGCCGTCGTCGCCTTCGAGAACAGCATTATTGTTGCTTATTGGAGAATGTTGGGGACGACAGGCCTGTTCTATGTCGTCCATGTCGATGAAGTCGTCATCAATAGCTGCGAACTCATCAGAGGCGTTAACACTATCTTGTTGCTGTGCTGTGCCAGACATGGTCTGCCCCGCTTTGGTAGCACCGACTGACGAATTTCTGTCTGGAGCTTTATCGAGATGTCCCGCGCTCTTGGCTTTCACTTGATATTTACTTTGCTTTTCAACGACGGGCGTTTGCAACACGTTTGGCCGGACCGTTTCATTTCTAGACCGCTGATGCCTTCCTCTATCGTGGATGCTCTCCGAAGGTGCTCCCCTCTCCACGTTTCGTGTGGGTGGGAGATGGCGCAGAAAAGCATTCGTATTTTGAGTTGACGATAGGTCTAAAACAGCTCCGGTCAAGGTTTGGGCAAAGCCAGACTTAACCTTCTTTTCCGGCGGCTGCCATTGTCTTCGTTCCTGTCTAGGCGGTTCCTGAAATTCCTTCGAAACAAGGTTTATTTCATGGGATTCTTCTTTCGAACCCTCAACTCCCTCCTGTCGTCTCGAAGTCCTGGACCATAGCGGCTCCCGCCGAAGAGGAGCAGTACTGTGGGGCGTCGAAGATAGGTCGAGCATGGCTCCCGTTAAATTCTGCGCATAGCCTGCTTTCGAATACGTAGACTCGGCTTTCCTACGCTTGGATGGCCGTTCCTGTGTGTCTCTCTCTTGACGTTGTTCTTTTTGCCTGTCTTCGAACGGCGAAGTAGTCGGAAGCAATGCTCTTCCATGGTGGCCAGTTGGGGTCCCGAGCAGAGCGCTTAGCGGTTTCTGCGATAGTTTAGAGTAGCCGGTGGGTTGTCTTGCGATCCGTAAGTTGTCAAACGGCACCTCAGCTGGCGATGAACTTGGTCTTCTCACTGCCGCCCTCTCTTCCCTCTGCTTTGTGCGATGGTCTAGTAGCTCGGTCAAATCTTGATCCCTACTCCCCAAACAATCTGCAACTTGAACCAGTATCGCGGCCCGATCCAGCTCTAGCTCCTCGCCCTCATCAATATGGTAGTCGTGCCAGTGCGTATCGCCCACAAAGTTCAGTCTTTCGTCATACACCATCACCCGTTTGTTGAATGTGTGAAATTTGAGGCGACCATCTTGCCAGCGTTTTTGCTTTCGTCGGATATCTGACGTGAATAGGCAGCGAAACTCAATCACGGGCGCAGTGTTCTGTGTGAGGGGTATTGCTGTGGGCGCCGCGGGGGTGTGCTGGACAAGCGATGCCATAGCTTTGCAGGATTTTGCCCGACAGCATCAATTTCGAGGGTAATATATTAAAGAACGCATTTCCATTTCATGACTTCGTAAGCTGCGGTTGTTCGTTGTGGCCTGCAAATAAAACAATGCAGTGGAGTTGTCCTGGACCCGCGACGATATACCACTTGCACTCTAAATTACGCGTTTCCAACGCGAATGCACGTGACACATCAAATGAGAAATACGATATTGAGGCCAACGAATTTATCACCAGAAATTCCTCATAGTACAGATATCTACGTGTACATTTGCCTATTGTTCTAATTCAACTAACCGAGCTATGTCTATCTTCTTCCGCTGCAGATCACATTCTCAAAACCAGCCTCTGCGACATGCCTATTACGCCTCCTCAGTCTACATCATGCCGCATCCACCCATCCCATATGACCCATAATACTCTCTGCCACGCCTTCCACCCGCTCTCTTCCGTGGTCCTCTAGACTTTGTTCCAGCCATTGGCCCAGTCTCCCGCTTCATTGTGAACTCCTCTACGTTTTCCACGGTTTCAACCATCACTGGCGGCCAGAGATAGTCATAGTAGCTCGGCGTGTAGTAACCAGTCGATGACATATCAACCGCACAACAGCCGCCGCCGCAACTGTCAAAATCTTGATAGCTGCAACCATATTGCTGCGCGTATTGTCTAGGGGGTTCCGGGTACGGGCTCCCATACTGCTCGTACTGCTGAGGATATCCATAAGAATGGCCATATGATGAGTAGCCGTCAAAGTCTTGTCCAAAGCTTGGATATCCATATGAACCTGTGCCATCGACGAAGGAGTGGTAGGCGTTTGCTTGGTAGTTGGCGTCGTCACCGAAGGATTGGTAGGCATTCGAATGGAAGTTGGTCTCGTCGCCGTAGGATAGATTGATATTCGAGTGGGAGTCTGAGCCGTCACCATACGACCTACGGGCATTTGAATAATAGCCAGTATTGTAGGGTTCGAAACTTTCGTATTCTTGTTGTGATAGATTCGGATCGCATGCACAGCTGGCCCCATGAGGTTGAAAATGGCAAGACATTGCGGTACAGAGATATGTTGAGGGGCAATGCACAGTTGGCTGGAACGGAGTGGATCTGACCTTGGTAATCTGTGATGAGTACTGGATATTTGCCAGATTGGAATCTGGAGGAGATGTGGTGGGCTTTAATGGAAGTGAAGGCCTGGCTTGCTTCTATGATGGGTGACGGGCATGGCATTTTTGTAATCCGTGCTGGTAAGGCAACTGCAACAGTTTGATGTGGAAATATCATGATGTGACTCTGTTGCCATAGACACTCCAAACTTTGGTCCTACCCGGCGTGTGGTCAGTTTCAAGCGGATTATTTGCGTCAACGACCACAAACATATTGGTATTTCTCAAAAGACTCATAAAGCAGCGAAGTTGGAGAGGCGTTTGGAATATTTGAATTGGCACATGTTAAACTGAAAACCTGCGGCATGTAGGAAATCATGACTATGTTTTGCAAGACCCTATGGCTCTGGATCTTATACCTATTTCCAAGGCTAATCTTCCTGTATGCCCCACTAAACAACGAGAACCTGAAATTCTAAAGAGTGCCGTTTCTTGAATATTGTTGAGTTTCTCATCCAGCCTCGAGAAGATATTGAGGGGCCTTACAGTTATTACGCATCATCCTTGAGTTTGCCATGTTCACCCCTCAGGTCTCCCGATGCTATGCCTTGGCGCCATTTCGAAACCACCGTCCTATCCTTTTGAATATGGATTGATTTTTCGTGTGCTCGTTTCATCATGCAACCCAGACACCCTGACCTGTATTCCCACACTTATATGACCCTCTGTTGGCGCGTGTCTGTCGAAGCTTAAGCAGAAAATGGACGTTTCCACAACAGAATACTGCGAACCTTTAAAAGTTCCAGACCCTATCCCATCAAACAGATGAAGTTTCTGCTTGTTCGCCGCCTAGTACCTATAACGCGTGGAGTAGTCTTTCGGGCTGACCACCAATCCTCGACCCTTCTTGGCTCCCCGGTAGATGGTCTCTATGATGTCGATGAGCTCCTGCTTATCCTCAAGCACCCAGTTGAGTTTGTTGTTGTTTCCCGTCCCAAAATCACACATCATATGTTTGTTTCGGAAGAAAAACATGATTGTCATTGGGTCGTATAGCTCTGTAAAGGCACTTGTCAGCTGTGAAAGTCTACAGCACAAGAGCTCATAAGGGCTACCCACCATACATCTGCTTGAAGTCGGGCACTTCTTCTAAAAAACACACCTGAGTTAGATTATATCTGCATGTCAAGTTGGAGACACTTACCCAAGTCGCAAACTGTAATATGGTTAGCAAATCTCAGCGAGTGCGATAGTATTGAAGTGACTGACCATAGACGACAGCAAAGTTCTTCACTCGGTCTGCAATCTTAAATAGCACTTCATCTTGCCGCATGCAATCCTCGGAGTAGTCACGCCCAAAGCGGATGACGACGAGACGTTCGTCCTCGTTCATGATAGCTTGGTCGACATGCCACCCAGTGCGCAAGTGGGGAAGTACGACGGAACCCATGGCAAGCTGTGGGGTGGTTTGGGATTTTAAAGTTCGTTGGTAGGATCTGAAATATAATACAGCGTAGCTGTGATGCTGAAGTGGACTCGAAGTCTTTAATTTGGATAGGTGGCGGGCTGTTGTGAGGTGAGAAGTTGGTTTGCCAGCGGCGTTATCGTCACCGCCTTTGGATTTCGCTGCCACCTGAGGGGCAGACACGTGATCACGCGTTGGTAGTGGGCGTTCAACGTGATGCTTCGACCGCGATTTCTCACCACATGAATCACCGATGAATTAACACCATTATTTTTCACATTATAAAATTGAGGGCGAGAAATATAATATATAATTCTTGGTTTGTCTACATATGTATTCATCGACTGCAATAATTCAACTTGCCGCCGAGTGAGATGGACGGAGGTCTTTGTAGAAGAACGTCTCACTCTTCAACACGAGTCCATCAGGACTCACCGAGTAATCCGGAATTGTGCCATACTCGACATATCCAAGCTTGGGATACACCTTCTCGGCCTTACTCCCCTTCTCAGTATCAAGCAGCTTTATCCTATCAGTATACTGCAAATCTGTGATAGCCAGAGGACTTACCAAAATCCATTTCCCCTTCTCAATTGCAATCCTCTCCAGTTCGTCCATCAGCCGCCGTGCAATACCCCGCTGTCGAAGGCGTCCGTCAACCATCAACTTCTCCACCCACGCCCGATGATTCCCCGTCTGACTCCATGGAAGTAACAAACTTGCTACACCGCTGATGGCGCCGTCCTCCGCTAGGTATACGATCACTTTTTCCCCAGTCTCCGGTGTGCCAGATCGACATTGCTGGATCAGCCCTAGCCAAAAATCTCTCATCTTGTTGTCATCGAGGGGAGGTAGGAATGTTGCGATCGTGGCATCCTCCATGATGCATCTTCGATGAAGCGCCGTGAATCCAGTGACCAATTCATTTCTGGATGCGTCGTCGATACTCGGCGCCGTGGACGAGATGATCGAGAGTGGTTCTGTTCGATGCATAGAGACGGTAGATTTCATCATTCTTGCGTATTATCAAAGTATGTGTAATGAATGGAGAGGCAGAATGTAAATAAATGCCGTATATACCATATCTAGGCAGCAGGGTCGAAATTACCCCACCCTCTGCTACTAGAGTTCTTGAAAAAAGTTGGACGCTTGAAAACCCCGCGTGTATTTGTAAGACCGATCAACACCCCTGCGACGCCGCCGATTTAAAAATGTCACACGAGGAAGATGTAGTTCAACAAAATCTTGGTTTGCCTCTATCCTGGGTATATTATAGGCATATTATGGATATTTCCTGCTTGGAGCCATAAATGATGGAGCAGGGTTTGGCTTATCAGCCACCTCAAGGCCGCTGTGGCACTCTGGGGATTCAATAACAGAGACATTCCGTCTCGTTTCCTAATAGACAGGCTCGCTCGTTCTCGGCGTGCCTTCGCTGCTCTGGATCTCGGCGGTATGCAGACAATGTCATGTCCGTGTCCCTCTTCAAATGATGCCGTCATGCTCTCCCTTCAATCTCTTGACTCGTTTTTGCTCCCAATCATCCAGGTCCTTCGCGGCCAATTTCTGTAAACGAATCAGTATGAGCTTCTGACTAGCAATTCTTCCTTCTAAGGGCATCCTTTGGGAACCTTACATAGTACTCCTCCTTCATATCGACTTTCCTTGCATTCTTCCCAATTCCCAACTCCTCATCCTTGGTAACCCTCTGCACTCGTCTATCGTGTTTCTCGTATCTGATCGCCGTAGCGGGGGTCAAAAAGAATGACCCAGCGACCATGGTTGCTATGAAAGGGAGTCCAAAGAGCGCAAATGGGTGCTTTGCCAGGGCACTCCGGTACCTGGCTGCGATTGTGTTTGCTTGGGCTGAGGGTCGGAACTTCTTAGACTGGAAGATGGCCATTTTGCCGACTTGCCAATATGAAACCTCTTTATGGCGCGGACTGATATGCAGGAAAGCGATAATTGGAAATGTCAATGGGAGAGAGATAGATATTATCGCCGTCAAGGTCCGGCCTCAATGGAAAAGTCGCCGCACAGACCAAGTCCTTCAACTCCGAGGCCATTAAAATCACGTGCTTTCGCGACTCTCTGAGAGCACGTCCGCGTCCCCCACATATGACAAGCAACGACAGGTGAAGAACCCATAACAGCTTTTTTGGTAGTATTACACGACACAGCCTGACCAACGGCACCAACCAGTCGTTTCCCCAATGGATCTTGGGCCGTTATCGATATTGGGGTCTCCTATCCCGCGTCTGTTTTAGAGCCCGGGAAAAATATATCATGGGGAACCCATCACGAATGCCGCCAGGACAGCACGCTACAAATGGCGACAGTATCGACACTGGCCCAGGTGCCTTCGAACCGCCTCCCTCGACTCTTGCTGCTAAACTTGTCAACAAACTCTCGGGGAGTCATAAACCCTCCCTCCAAGGCTCCCAAGACAGTTTCGGACTTCTCGTCTCTGAAGTCTCCAAGTTCGACAAAACTCGAAATGAGCATACATCGCCCGAAGAGATCAGAGAAAACAACTATCGGGTTGTATACGTGCTGACAAAAGCACGCTTGGGTCCAGTATGCAGCGATGAAAGCGATCCGTTTGCGAAGAAGGAGAGGGTCCTTGACGATGCTGCCCAAGTTCTCGACTTGTTCATTACATCTATAAAAGAGACGCCGGAAATCCTCACAAAGGTTGGGGCACAGAATGACTTGGTCCGGACGGGGAGAGGGGTGCCTCTATGGATATGGTTATGGCCAAGGCTGCTTCGACTTCTTGGAAACGAAGGCTGCGAACCGCTGTGGTCGAAAGTGAAAGAGCTCTTCCATACCGCATTCGATGTGTCTAGGGCCCTGGATGTTGAGTTTTGGGGAGTCGGTCTGCAATTCCTTAACTATTTGAGACATTGTGCAGATGCTTCGCTGCACAATGTTGCGGCGATTTCGACTTCGACTATAGCGCTGCCCCTGGCGACGATCGAGGACGACCTCTCCTTTCAAAGTCGATTGGGGTTTGTCGAGAATGGATGCACATATAATTTACGGAGGGGGTCAGATTCATTCCACCATACTCAGCAGCTATTGACCCTCGTGGCCGAATTGTCATTATCATCCTTTGTTGACGGCCAGCTTTACGAGAGCACTTCGCACAGATACATGGCATGGGTTTTTGATAGTTTTCTCGAGCTTCGAACAACTGCTGCGAGGTCAGCGGCGTACAAAACCGAACAAGATGAGATCCATTCGTGCTCCATCTCCGTCGATGCAGTCCACAGACTTGTGTCGTCTCAAGCCCAGCACATTGACGCCCCAGCCCACCGCAAAGGCTACCGAGTTTTGGCTCATCTCTGTTCAGAGCTTGTTGCCTATCCAGCCCCATTTTCTGATGTAATCGATCGAGTCAAATTAGCAGCCATTCTGCTGGATCTGGCGTCGGCCTGTGAAGCTTCCGGATCTGTATCACAAGTAGTCGCCATTAACCTGCTTCCGGTTTTAGACAAGGCTATTGTGCTTGCAGCTCCCACTGACGACGACTTGAAGGTGAGCCTATATGCTAGTTGCAATAATATGATACTAATGTTGGTTTTGTAGAGCTGTATTCTTCTACTACGCCAAAAGTGCCAAAACATACCCCCTCAGACTGCCCCTATAACCCTAGAGAACAAGGCACTAGAATTGCAGTTTCGGAGTCTCTGCTTCAAAGATTTACCTAGCGTCGACAATTATAATGATGGTGGCCCTCAAACCAAGCGTCGCAAAATTGCGCCGCACAGCTTATTAGAAGAAATCACAGAAGAGGCATACATCCTCCTAGGCGCCCAGAAAGCAACGGATTTGGATGGATTGAGTCATATCGCAGCGTCGGTATTCCTTCCATAAAACTATTTGTATATTCTGACAATGAACAGAGACTGCTTCTCTCACCTCGAAGATACAAATCGCTGCAAAGCATTGAAACTTTTGGGCATGATACCGTGCGCAAGCGCTCATACCTTGACGGTATTCCGTGACAAGAATGGAGAGTTTGGCGAGCCTGAATGCACCGTATGCGGCTCCAGCAGCAAGGCCGAACCCACCATCGACACCGCCAGCGACCGCACCGTCCCTGCTCCGGTATCAGTATCTGAGCCCAACAGCACCGCGCAGGCTGATCCCATAATACACCAAGGCCCGCAGTCTGCTGATATGGCGAAGGTGGAAGCACAGGCTGTCGCCATATTGTCTGCCCTCCTCAAAGTCGGCGACTTCGAGTTGTCAAGGAAGCCAAGGATATTGGCAATGGTAGTCGTGCGAAAATTTGCCCTCCATTTCGAAGGGGCTCAGTTCATGGATCTTGAGTCGTCGGTGTTGGGCCAATGGTGCCTGACTTCACTCCGTAGCTCGGTTCGAGAGCTTCGGATTGCTGCTGGACGAACCGTACCGGCCTTTCTCAGGGATGGAAACAATGTCGACGTTGAAGTAACGCGAAGAAACAGAGTGAATGCAATCAATATACTGAGGCAGTTCTCTGGAGAAACTCCACCTCACCTTACCGAGACTTGGGTGGTGACATGGGGACAAATAGCCAGAGTTTCGAAAGACCGAGAGCTAAACCTGACTCTCTTGAGGCTGATAGAATACTTGGGACATACGAATCAGATAATCTCTGGACTTGCATTTACCGAAATACTCAGTACCGCAGAAGTGCATGGCGTTCCTGTTGGGCAAATGTTTAGTCCATTTTGGCGCACTATTGCCCATACTGCTGTTAGTGATTTGCAAAATCGGCCACAGACCGTGCAATTGATGGCAGAATTGCTGTCCATAAGCGTGCCGGAATTTCTGGTAGAAACCCAGGCCTATACTCTTCCATGGCTAGTCCTGGCTAAGAAAACAGACATCATCACAAAGATATCCCAGGCTCGTGAAGATGATGACCCGAGCAAGGCCATTATTTCGAATATGGTTGCAATCATGCCTCTCCTACTTGTGCAAGCAGTCCCCGATATTGAGACGTTCATTATGGGACTTCTTCGAGGCGTATCGACAGCATTTGACAAAATTGACCTTGTACAGTGCCTTGGGATAGGCGCAATAGAGATAGCGGTGGAACTACTGAAGAACGCGGGTGACGAAGATGACAGCAAGAAATCCAGAGTAAGTTCATTATTTTATAACCCTAATCGTCACAAAATCCCCTTCTTTCGCCGGCCTGGTTATCGTCGCCTCAACGTATCGCTGACTAGTGATAGCAGGTTCGACACGCTCTCAATATTTTAGCGGCACACTGCGATATAATTCCAAGTGATGGCGAGCAAAGTAAGGACAAAATTGGCGCGTTTCTGGAACAATACAGCTTAGGTATAATGTCCCATTTCTCAGAACTTGTCAACGATACGCGAGTTTGGCAGTCGCCGAACGAGAAGAAGCGGTCCTTGAGAGGAATAGAGGAATTGGTAAAGGTAGGCAAGAGTCATACTAGGTCTGCTTTGCCTCAGATTCATGCTTGCTTACAATCGGCTTTATCAAATGACCACCTCCGCACTGCCGCTTTTCAGGCATGGGGGACTATGATCAGGAGCTTCGACGATGAAGAAGTTTCAGTCATGCTTGAAACAACCTTTGCCATCATTATTCAGCATTGGCAGTTCTTCGACAGCTCTACACGAGAGTACGCCCGTAAGCTGATCGAATATCTATTGACCAAGCGCTTTCAAACTCTGGGAGTCAATGCTGATCTTCTCCCGTCTCTTGCTCAAATCCCTGAACTGCAGTCGTGCGAGGAACGGCTTGTCAAGATGAGATCAAAACCAGATGTGAAGCAAGAATATCAGATATTCAGCCGGAGAATCAGCCACGAGCATGCCAGTGTGGTAACTCAAGGCTTGACAGAGCTTGCGAGTTATCTCAAGAAGAATCAGGAATTTCTACAAGCGTCAGCTGTCAGTGAGCAGCCAGAGAAGGTAGTGGGGGAACTACTCCGAGCAATCCTCGATGCTTGCGTGCAATTCAATGACAGCAACACTGATGTCGCACGGCTCGCAGGTGAATGTTTAGGTATGATCGGCTGTGTAGATTCGAACAGAGTCGAAACAGTTCGGAAACGGAAAGAAATCGTTGTCCTCAGCAATTTCGATGGCTCAGCTGACACGACTGATTTCGTCCTGTTCATCCTCCAAGAAGTCCTTGTGAAGGCCTTTGCTTCTGCTACGAACCCAAGAGCTCAAGGATTCTTCTCTTACGCCATGCAAGAATTACTAAGAAGATGCGATTTTTCCGTGGTAGTTTCTCAATATCGAAGCCATCAGATCAATACAGGCGATGCGGAAAAGCTACATAAGAAGTGGCTTGGTTTGCCTGAAAGCGTTCAAATGACGCTATCGCCGTTTCTAAGTTCAAAGTATACAGTTACGGCCATGGCAACGAATCCCGTTCAGTACCCGATATTTCAGTCAACCAAGAGCTACAACGTCTGGCTTAGGGCATTCGTATTAGATCTACTTCAGAAACCACAGAACGCCAATGCGTCACTTATTTTCGATCCTCTCAGCCGTGTCATCAGGATTCAGGATACATCAGTTGCCAATTTCCTCCTTCCTTACACTGTTTTGCACAGCGTCGCCCTTGGGTCTGACCAAGACAGGAGCTATATCCTCGGCGAAATTCTGGCAATATTAGAACACGACACATCAACTGATTCGCACAATGATCTCAATAATGTCAAGCTCTGTAGCGAGGTAACTTCCTTGTCTCTCATTTCCCACGTCAACTAACAATCGGTAGGCAATATTCAGGGTGTTGGACTACCTGGCTCGCTGGGCACAAGAGGAAAAAGCGGCTCTCGGCTTGCTGTCGACCAGAACAAATTCCGACACGGAAGAGAAATCTAGGCGACATCTTAGGCTTCAATTGGTAGCCAAGCTACTCTCTGCTATCCCGGCCCAAATAATATCACGCCGTGCCGTCGAGTGCAAGTCGTATGCGCGAGCCCTCTTCCATTGGGAAGCACACATACGAAAAGTCAGAAAAAATAACGAGCCGATTCCTAAATCAATGCTTCTGCGCCTCCAGGATATCTATACTCAAATCGATGAGCCAGATGGTATCGAAGGCATCTCGGCTCATCTTTATGTGCTTGATATTGACCAGCAGGTTCTTGGCCACCGCAAGGCCGGCCGTTGGACAGCCGCGCAGAGTTGGTACGAAATAAAATTGGCTGAGAATCCCAGCGACACTGAGGCGCAAGTGAACCTGCTTGACTGTATGAAGGAGTCTGGCCAGTATGATGCTCTATTGAACTACGTTGAAGGCATAGAGCAATCCAGCTCAATTGTATCAAAGATTCTTCCTTTTGCAACAGAAGCATCGTGGTCAACAAGCCGGTGGAATATGCTGGAAAAGTATGTTGCCAAAGCCCCTGTTGAAATCGCGGGCGATTTCAATGTGAACATTGGCCGCGTCTTACTTGCATTTCGTGATCGGGATTTCAATGTCTTCGATGCTGCAATAAAATCACTACGAGAGCATATTGCCGGCTCGTTATCAGCGGATACAACCTCGTCTCTAGGATCTTGCCATGATTCCATGTTGCGGCTACACGTGCTGACGGAGCTGGATATGATTGCTCATTCTTCTGACGATGCCTCTCAGCGCCAACAGGTCCTATCATCGCTTGACAGACGGCTTGAAGTAGTAGGTGCCTACCTCAATGACAAGCAGTATCTACTTGGCCTGCGTCGAGCCGCAATGCAGCTGTCAAGGAATACATTCACCGAGGCCAACATAGCCTCCGCATGGCTGACAAGTGCCCGTGTCGCCCGCAAAGGGAACTCCGTTCACCATTCCTTCAATGCGGTCCTTCACGCATCTAAGCTTGGCGACGACTCTGCTATGATCGAGCATGCTCGGCTGATATGGAGAGAAGGCCATCACCGCAAAGCCATTCAGAGCCTCCAAGGAGCTATCGACAACAATGCGTTTATCTCTCATAACCAAGCGCCATCGGAACTGGAAACTGGTCAAGAGGGGAACCGAGACCACCAAAATCTCCTCGCTGCACGTGCACATCTACTGTTAGCTAAATGGCAAGATGACGCTGGACAGACACACTCTACCGCGTTGCGTTCGCAGTATCAGTTTGCTGCAAAACTTTCTATGACTTGGGAGAGAGGCCATTATTACCTTGGCCGGCATTACAACAAATTACTTGAATCAGAGAAAACAATGGCTTCGGACCAGCAAATCGTACCGTATCTCACAGGAGAGATGGCAAGACTGGTTATCGAAAACTATCTCCGTTCTTTGAGCTACGGCACCAAGTATGTCTATCAAACCTTACCGCGTATTCTCACGCTCTGGTTAGACCTCGGGATGCAGATCACACAGCCCGTGGATGCCAAATATGGAACGAAAGAGTTCGCCGCAACTTTGAAAATTAAGCAAAAAGAGCAAATTGCCTCTATTCATCTTCGGTTTGACAAATATGTCCAAAAGATGCCCGCGTACATTTTCTATACGGCACTGCCACAGATTGTCGCAAGAATCGCCCATCCAAATCAAGAAGTTTATCAGTATCTACACCAGATTATTGTGAAGGTAGTTTCAACACATCCCCAACAGGCACTGTGGACTCTCCTTGCAGTGACTACATCGACGCAAACCGAGCGAAAAACCCGCGGCGCAAGCATTCTGCAGACCCTATTCTCAGCGTCGAGGAAATTAAGTCCAGCTGGGGTGGACCTAAAATCAATGATCCAGAAAGGGCAGAAACTGTCACAGCAACTACTCGTCGCTTGTACAGCAGGCGACTTTCCTACGAATCGGACAACTTTCGTCAGCATCACGAAACATCTCGGTTTCAACCCAAAACAGTGCTGTCCCAGTCCACTCGCCGTCCCTATTGAGAGCGCGCTGACTGCTACGCTGCCTACTCTTGCGGACAGCGTAGGATCACACAAGGCTTTCTCAAGAGACGTCATTACAATTGATGGGTTTGCAGATGAAGTCATGGTGCTCAGTTCTCTCCAGCGACCTCGAAAGCTGACAACAAGAGGCTCGGATGGAAAGCTATATGGGCTGCTTTGCAAGCCAAAGGATGACCTCCGAAAAGATCAGCGCCTTATGGAGTTCAATAGCATGATCAACCGCTCTCTGAAGCGAGATGCAGAAGCAAGCAAACGCCAACTGTACATAAAGACATATGCAGTAACGCCCCTCAATGAAGAATGCGGCATAATCGAATGGGTAGATGGCCTTAAAACACTCCGCGATATTCTTCTCGGGTTCTACAAGTCAATTGGGGTCGCTCCAAATTATACGGAACTCCGAGTTCTTCTCAAAGACGCCAGCGAAAATGATGACAAGCTATTTCTCTTCAAGGACAAGATACTTGCACAACTACCTCCCGTATTCCATCAGTGGTTCGTCCAGCAGTTTCCTGAGCCTTCATCGTGGTTCACTGCCAGGCTCAAGTACACACGCTCATGCGCCGTGATGTCAATGGTGGGCACAATCCTAGGTTTGGGTGATCGTCATGGCGAGAACATCCTATTCGAGGAAGGAAACGGCGGGACCTTTCACGTCGACTTCAATTGCCTCTTCGATAAAGGCCTTACTTTCCAGCAGCCTGAGAGGGTGCCATTCCGGTTAACGCATAATATGGTTGATGCTATGGGCGTCTACGGCTATGAGGGGCCCTTCCGCACTTCCTCGGAGATCTCGCTCAGGCTTCTTCGCCAGCACGAAGAGACACTGATGACGATATTGGAAGCGTTCGTATATGACCCAACGCTCGACTTATTGGAGAACAAGAATAAGAAAAGGAGAGAGCGTGATCCCGCCCTGCAGAAGGTGCCAAATACGCCGCAGGGTGTTCTAAAGAGCATTCGGAGGAAGATGAGGGGGCTGTTGGAGGGCGATAGTGTTCCGTTAGGGGTGGAGGGACAGGTGGACGAGTTGATCAAGCAAGCTACAAGCACGAAGAATTTGGTGGGCATGTATATCGGATGGTGCGCCTTCTTTTAGGCCTTACGATAGATAATATATTTGAGAATATATAATTACGAGCAGCATGGTGGCGAGTTCGTTTTGCGCGCGCGAGGGCGTCATCGTGGACCGCCCGTAAAAAGCCGCGAACTTTACACCTACGTCTTCACTCCAATATGGGCGGTCACTGCCAAGTTTATCAAGACTCTCACGCTGTTGAGGCAATTTGGATTAACGACTGTATTAATAATAGTGCGGTAAGTTTAGTTACTCATGGCCTATAAGCCTGTCAAACGGTCGATCTCTTCTTTCACCTGAGATGAGCGCCAATCTATGTTCATATCCCGAATGATTCTCCCATCGTTGTCTGTGATACTGAGGTCTGCTCCTCCTTCCTCAACCAAGATTCGAACTAAGTCTGCCCTTCCTGCAGAAACAGCGTAGGATAAAGGCGTTCGGCCATTTAAAGCCTTCTGGTTCACGTCAACCAACTGTGTTTGAAGCAATGTGCGGACAGTTTCTTCATTGCCGGGGCTACCCCACATGGCACAGGACAGAGGCGTTCGTCCAGTTTCCTCAGGCCAGTCGATTCCTTCGGGGTAGTATTTAGCCAACACCTTGATAATTTCGGCATGACTGCTAATGAAACTGCATTTTGGCCTCTCCTGTCGACGCTAGCAAGTTGCGCACCAGCCTTCCCACCCTTGCAAAGAACTTCTACTACCTTATCGTGTCCATTAAATGCGGCCCATGATAATGGCGACCAACCTTTAGAGTCCCCAGTATCAGAGAGCAGTATTCGGACACCTGAGCGTTGCGACTGTATAATAATGCTGACGGCTTCTAGTGCACCCATTTCAGCCGCCCAAGAAAGTACGGTCCGCCCACTGCGATCGCGCTGAGATATATCGACTCGAGGTTCCGAGACCAAGACTTCTAGCACCGCTAGATCCTGCCCCTGCGGTTTACTTCCAACTGCCCAAAAGAGTGGCGGAGATCCAGCCCAGTCAGCGATGCTAACGTCGATATCTTCTCTGGAAAGTAGTAATTGAACAATTTGAAGGTGACTAGACCCAACCGCCCATGACAACGGCGTGCGTCCATTTTCGTCCCCCCTGTTAACTTGTGGTCGATTTGATTTGTGTAATAGCACTCTTGCTATCTCCAAATGGCCACCAGCACAAACCCAGGATAAGGGTGAGCCGCCTTCAAGCGATTTGCCACTTGGAGAAGTCCCATGTTCAAGCAATGCCTTAACGGCATCAATGTGGCCCATTCGACAAGCCCAAGTTAGTGCGAGTGACTTGTTGGGGTCTTGAAGGGGAGACGAATAGTTTTCCAAAATCTCATTTGTGAGATGAGCGAGGCCAAAGAAAGCTGACACGAGTAGTGGATCAAGATCCTTTGGTAGTGCCGCGAATTCAACTGATGATAGTCTATATTGACTAGACCAATTTTCAAGGCAGTTTGTACCACGATGTAAAAATCGAATTGCCGATATTATAAAACTCTTTGGTATAGATTCGCCTGACATTGAAAGGTGCGAGGTCCAGTAGCGAGCCGAATACTCAAAAAATCTAGGCACTTGAGCAGTCTCTGATGACTCTATAGAGTCCACTTGTGACGAGTTGTCATTGAACCGCAGGATGTCCTCTGTAGCCCCTGGAAGTTCTTTGAACGCTAACATGTTCTCATTGATAAGATGCGTCTCGCTAAACTCATCGAGTCCTAGAAATGCAATGCAGACAGTAGCAAGTTCTAGATTTGCTGTACGTTGGTTGACACCATATATGTTCCGTAGGTCGGACTTAATCGACTCTAAATTAGCTACGGAACCGGTCGAAAGTCGCAACAGGAACTCTTTGGCAGATTGGTGAGTAAGTTGGACTTTCGAATCATAAATCCCAACGAACGCCCCCAAGGCAAGTCGTACTGTTCTTTCGATAGCCATGTCACTGTCTTCTTCTACCAATTTCAATGTCCGATGGTCTAGGCTGATTGCTAGGGCCAACTGTAACTCCGCCGTCGTCAAAGGCCTCAATGAGGTAACCAAAACCCGAAGAACCTTTGATGCGAGGGTCTGATACTCAATGTCGATATCAGAAAGAATGCAGCAGTACATTCCATCAAGGTCCTTTGGATTTTCGTTGACAATTCGCTCCAAGAATTTCTTGTTCTGTGGGCCGTGCTTCAAGCGTTGGATCACAAGTCTAACCCAGAGAAAATTTCGCTCGGCTTTTCTCACTATACTTCTTTCCAAGGATTCTCTTGTCTTTGCCGGCCATTAAATGTCCCCTGCCAGTCTGTTTAGTTGGTATTTAACTACTAACGGAATATCTCTGTTCTTGATACCGTCTTCATTGTCAAGCGAGATAGACGTTGAATATTGCTGGATTTCTTCCGTAAGGTCGACGCTAGGTCTGCTTGAGATTAAGAATTTAATGCAGTTGTTTTCTGGGTTTAGCCCTTGAGTTAAAAGCTTCCTTGTCATTGCCAAAATCCTGTCTCTAGAGTCGATCTCGCATTCATCGATTGCATCGATAATGACGACGATGGTGCCAGCCATAGGGTTGAGTGTGATGTCGCTGAGCGTCTCCCAGAGAGCATTGAGGGACCATTGATTCGACGGAATCTGAGAAAACCTTGTAGTTGCATGTTGTATCAAATCATGACGTTGCTGGAGGATCTGGTATAGGAGGCTGCGAAGTATTTCCCTGCCATTCTTTCGGCCAATGTCCTTATCGTCGCAGAAGAACGAGCACATCGTGACATCGCATGGAGCCATGGCTGTTTCTATGAGTGGCTTAATGCGGTCGGCCAAAAATGAAGTAAGAATAGATTTTCCGGTTCCCATCCCTCCTGTAATATGCAGTAGGGTTGAGTTTTTATCAGATATCCATTTGCGGAATGCCATATTCGACAGGATCCATTCGCAAGAACCAGGTGTCCGTGGACGGAGCTGAGCTCTGCATTCTTTCATATCGATCATATTAAGCGCACTTAGGCACTCCTGCTCCAGAATATCGAGAGCTAAGAGGCGAAAGAGTCAGCTCTGTTTTAGATTCTTCGAACTTTATGCTTGTACTTACGACGAGATTGGCCTTGCTTGTAACTCGCTGCTCCATGTCTTTGGCAAACTTCAACTATTTTCCGATATGCGAAAGTGTGTTCATTATCAAGACGACACATGTCTCTATGATTGTCGGATAGTGGAATCAAGTCCTCGTTTGGAACGCCAATTCGAGCAGAACTTCGCTCTACAATCTAAAAGAAAACTGTTAATAAAATTATCAACGTTGATTTTGATATAGGGGTATATAAAAGTAATATAACTAACCTGAGTTTTAAAGGGTGGCATTGCATTCTCTTCATAAAACGAGATGATATCAAGGTCCTTAGTTCGTTCTGTAAACGACGTAGAAATATCTATCAGTTCTTTAGAGCGAGGACGAAGCAGGTGTATAAGATCCTTTCTTATTTTGCCAAACAAACGGTGAGCCATGGATACATATCCAAAGGCATTTATGACACCGGCGAGTACAGATACGAAGTCGGCATGCTCCGATCCCCTATGAGGAGTACCAAAAAAGACAATTGCTTTAGTTGACTGTAGTATGTTGAGATATATCGAGTTTTCATGAGAAAGAACTAAAGCCTACTGTCTGTTAGTATTGTTTTATAATTGAATCAAATGGTAGCATACGTTTTTGCAGACGATCCCTCCAAGGCTGTGGCAGATGAATCTGATCCTGCGTCGTTGATCCTGAATATAGTTAGGTTCTCAGCTGGCATTTCCGAAGAATGGCAGCTACACACCGTTTCTGACTGTCGCACTAAACTCAGCTCTGATAGTAATTTGAGGGCATAATCTCTAATGCCGGCCTTTGACTGACTGAATATTGAAGAGTCGTACCCGAAGGTATAAATCCTTGATTTGGGGAGCGAACGTGGCAGAAATTCTCGTAGCCATAATTGGTTTTGCCTATTTGTCCACGTAGTGAATGCATTTCCGTTTAAGCCATGCAATGCAATAACATCAACATCAACATCAATAGGCAAATGCGCATCAACAGGCTCATGTAATAAGCTTGAGTCAAGCCTAGATAGCCCAAGAGGTTGGCTCTTTCCTGTTAAGGCATTATGAGAAGAGGCTGAGGGATCATAGAGCGTGTACGCTAGAATGGTCAAAAGTTAGCTACGTCCTATTCCATGTACTCTTATTTCGAATCATTAAAAACAGAAACAACAGAATTACCTTGATGTTCTCTAGTACTATGTTTTATGCTCTGTTTGCCTGCCACGGGTTTGGACTAGCATCTTTGCCACGACTAGACATGGCGAGGAACTAATTAGAACCAAGTCAGAGAAAGGAACTAACAGCGAAGAGGGCCGCAGAAAGGGTATGAGGATCGCAGAGGGTCATAGAGGGCGCATCTCGATGTGGTAAACTGCAGAATATCCTCTTGATCTAAGAAACTGCAGTATGTAGTCTTAATATAGGAAACTGTAGTATGTGGTCTCGATGTAGGAGACTATAGTATATTGTCTTGATATAGGAAACTGTAACACATGGTCTCGGTATAAGAAACTGTAACACATGGTCTCGGTATAAGAAACTGTAAAACATAGTCTCGGTATAAGAAACTGTAGCATATGGTCTTAGTATAAGAAACTGTAGCATATGGTCTTAATGTAAGAGACTATAGCTTATGTTTTTAATGTAAGAAACTATAGTAGATAGTCTTAATATAAGAGACTATGGCATATAGTCGTACTATAAGAGACCATAGTTTATGTTCTAGACGTGAGAACCTATAATACATGGTCTTATTGTAGGATGCTCTAGCATATGGTCTCAACATGAGGGACTCAAGTATATGGCGAGTGTTTGCAGGACCGGTGAGGAACGGAATACCCGATGAGGAACGGCATATCTACTGACACTTTCATAGATAGTTGTACTCGGCTGGTTGCAGAAGTTACTCATATAGGCTTCAATGTCTCAACTCCTGTCTCTAGTTGCCGACGGCAAGAAGAGATTATATTGACTTCATTATCCCGCTTTTACGTGTATTATGAGTATCCTATAAATAAAGTTTGGTAGGGTGGTTTACCCTTTCAAATTAAACACTGTTATGAGAACCGTACCATGCGAAGCGTCGTACGGTTTAGTGTACACGATGGCACGGGTGGCCCTGATTGGCTACAACCCATGAAACTTATGACCATCTGCCTTCCATCGCAACCACGACCGGCGACTTAAACCCCGGGATAATCAGCCGTTTAATTTTTCTTTGTTGCCATACCACAGCATATCATTTTTTTTTGTCTATTCACATCAAAAACTTCATTTGAGATGGCCAGAGATGAGGAGCTCGCTGAGCTTGCTCATCCTGATTACTGGAACGAGCGTTATTCTTTAGAGAAAACGATCAAGCAAGGCGAGACACAAGAAGTCCTTGGTTCCTTCGAATGGTTTGGCGACTTCGCAAAGCTTCGCGCTTTCTTCGTGAAACATCTCCCGGCTTCTTCATGCGGAAGTCATATTTTGCAACTGGGTTGTGGAAATAGCGTGTGTTTCCCTTCCACCCCACCCAACAAGACTTTTTATTGGCCCGGACAGAGAAACTCAAACGACTAACATGTGCATCCAACTATAGACCCTGACGGCAGATATCTACAACCTGGGATACACAAACCAGACCAGTGTTGACTTTTCTCAAGTGGTCATCGATGCTATGCAATCGAAGTATTCGAGCTTAGAAACTCAATGGCGTGTCATGGACGTCCGTCAGCTGGAATTGCCAGATGGGTCGGTTGATGTGGCCGTCGACAAAGGGACACTGGATGCCATGATCCACGGTTCGTTATGGGACCCGCCTGATGATGTCCGGAGCAATGTAGGCCAGTATGTAGATGAGGTAGAGTCAAAATGTTCCAGTCACCACAGCCAAGTAGCTAATTACAGCAGGTTGCGCGGGTGTTGAAACCTGGAGGACAGTGGCTCTACATCACATATCGGCAACCACACTTTATGAAACCACTACTCACACGGGAAGGCTCGTGGGATTTATCAGTCGAAGTTCTAGCTGAAGACGCCGGCGCATTTGAATACTTCGGTTTCATAATGAAGAAGCATCCAAATGTAGACTTAGGTCATGTGACAGCACCGATTATTGGCAAGGATAAAGCAACTCTACATGTGGACAGCAGTCCGAAGATACTAGAGATGATACTGGCAAACATATGATGATGCGGAGTAGGTGGGGCAACAACTTTTCGCGTTGTTGGTGCGAAACTGGTATATCATCGTCTTGTGGTCGGCTTTGTTGTCAGGCGTGCTTTTGTAGCCGCTGTAGTGTTGCACACACAACCTTCGATTTGAAAGCTTAGTCGAATTACTCCCGTCGTTCATTAATGAAGCCAATACATATGATAATGTCTTATATCTATGTACGCTGCCCCATAGCTAAGACTTTTAGTCCTCCCCATTTAAGCTTTCCAAGGCCTTGGCTGTATCCAAAATACTCTGGGGAAAGCCGATCCATTCCTTCCCAGTCGCCTCCACCGCCTTCTGCCCCGAAATACGCGATGTGCCAGGAACGTGCGAAATCTCGACAATCCTGCCATTCGCATCCTTCTTGAACAAATAACCCGTCTCAGGGTCGCCGATCGGGATATTCTTGCGTTCGGGGTACTGCGCGCGCAGGATGTCGGCGATGCCTTGGTTTGGGCCGATGCCACTGCTCGCGATGTACTTCTCGCCGTTTGCGATGGTGTGATTCTCGTAGGCCCAAAGGTGAACTCGGGAGACGTCGCGGACATCGATCGTGGCGCCCGAACCGTATCTTGTTGGAAGAACACCGGTTAGGCCGGCGAAAATGGAGTAGAGTGGCTTGAGAGTCTCGTTGAGCTTGGATGGCGATGAGGGGACGAGGACGGGAGGGCCTATGACGATGGAGGGGTGGATGGTGATGATGGAGAATGGTGGCTAAGGCGATAATGTTAGTGGTGAACACCTGTAGCAGTTTATAAAATATAAGGGGCCCTACTTTACGAGTGTCTCTGAACTCTTGAACGGCACGTAGAGCTGCTGCTTTGGACGCCGCATACATTATGCCGCCCCGCTGTGCTTCTGGGATTCCGTCTGCATCTACATTCTTGGCTGCCTCAACAGCCCAGGTGTTCTCGTCGGCCTCCGTGGTGACATATCCTTCTGGGGACCCCCGGTTCCATAGTGCGGCGACGGACGATGTGATCACTACGGCTTCAAGCTGTGAGCCAGCCTGCTCCAAAGCAGAAGTGAGGAGGGTGTTTGTGCCGCCGATAGCTGGGACCACAACTGTATCCCACGTATTAAGGGCAAAGTTCACGGGGGAGGCAACATGGAAGATGCCATGGACGCCTGTGACTCAGTCAGTTTATGTCACGTGATATAATTTAAAAGAGTGAATGCTCCCACGAACCCTTGACTGCTGCATCGAATGCTTTTGGCGCCGTTATATCAGGGACTTCAAATATTTCGATGCGGTCAGAATATGGAGCGAATGGCCCCGCGAGGAGGGCATGAGTGCTCGCAACAGAGCGAGAGGTTCCACGGATCGAATAGCCTTGATTCAGTGCGTCGAGGCCAATTTTCGAGCCAATGTAGCCATTAATCCCCGTAATGAGAACGACCTTGCCGTTGCTTGCTGGGATAGACATTGTAACGTTGATATCTAAGGTCACGCGCGGGTAGTGCTTTATTGGGTAATTTGATCGTATGGTGGGATTGTGGTTTACACAGAACCCAAGGGATGTGGCCGCGTATTATTTATCTTCAGGATTGCTATTATTAATTAATTATACTCAGCAAAAAGTAATCCGAAATTGCCAGCGATTGTAATCAAGACTGTTTGTAATCAAACTAGATTGTCTTTTGAGGGAATGTAGTAATGACGTTTCCCGTCGTCCGCCGGTGTTTCCCCGAGCTCCGTCGTCGCATGTGCGAACAAGCGCCCTGGAGTCTTAACCGCCAGGTCACAACCGCTGGAGAGCCTCCTGGTTTCAACATGTTGGTGTTGGACTCCACACAAGGCTGACTGCGCCACTAACTGCACCAACCGTTACGCCCATAATGGCTATCTTGTTGTATTTTAGGCTCCAGCCATGTCAACGCGCGGTAACAGACTTTCAGGTTTCATACCGTCTTCATCTTATAGGCTGAGTATCCAACGGGCAAGGCATGTCTGTTTGGTAGCTAAGTTACAACACTCCCTTCTCAGGTCCTGTAATTAGCCTGGTCACTGTTCTCGGCTCATTGCTTGTTGGATTCTCGTTGCAAAGATTTGGGTATATATTCCAGGTAAATCATCCTGTAAAATAGTTTCCGTATCACACTCAGCCTCCTTGTCCTCAATTATCATATAATCATATCTGTCAGCTTCTACGTTGTCTGTCACCTGTTCACAAAGACCCTGTTCTCTCTAAATTTGCATAGCAACGGAGATAAAATAAGAATAGTAAGGATCTTTTATCAAAATAATCATATAACAGAGGCCTAACGAGAAGCTCGAACGAATATCGCGATGGCAGCCACGGATAAGATAACATCCGGCTTACTATCATGGTTTTCACTGGTCAGCCCGCAGACTATATGAAATTTCGACACGTGGGCATTGAGTGTTTCTTTGTTGGACAGTCTTATCGCAGGTTCTTCCATTCGAAGGGGGAGAAACGGCCAGATATACACTTGAGGAGAGGCCACACTACAATGGCGCAACAAGCCTTCGGTCTGCAAAATCGGTCAGAGTTGGGCAGCTCCAGACACAAATGACCAGAGCAGAGGTTTAGACACTCATGTTTGGCGTAGAACCTGACAATATGGATGGAGAGCAATGTCAGGCTTGGGTTGGGAGAGTTTTAATGATACTTGCGGACCGGGGCCTTCTCACAGCGAGCGAGGCAGACATTGCTATAGATGGAATGGTTGAAGCAATCGCTGAGGCTAGAGATGAGGATCAGGCGGAGTGATTGTATTTACAAACGAGTATTTTTCCTTTCTTGCAATTCGGACGGATTAAATTATCTGACACTCATTTGTATGTCGATTTCTCATTTATGCTCATTTTATTCTGTTCATATTCCTAAAACTACTCGCATTAAGGACGAAGCCATTTAGAGAGGCCTTGGAAATTTATAAGATCTTCCGTGTATGGCTGCGAAAATATATCCGATGCGTAGTCATACCAGTCGTTGTGTAGACATGGTCGATGGAAGAATTTAACGTATTCCCAGTACTCGGGGAACCACCCAGCAACTTCTCAGTCAATGAGCCCAGTAATCTTATTTTCCTGCACCATTATGTTACGCGGTGATAAATCGCCATGTGTTAAGACCACCCGATTGTTGCAGCAGAGGCGCGCCCTTAGCCCATCCCGTATTTGCCTTGGGAGTAGATTTCGGGATATCCATAACGAAGTCATTAAAGCTCTCCTCATCAATGGCCCGCCAGTGAAGATATTATGGGCTAATTGGCGACCGTTAGTAGTGCAAAAAGTGAGGAGCGGAACGATTCTAGAAATGAACCCCAAGCAAACCAACAAGGAGAGGGAAGCGGGTGATGTTAAATGAATGCAAAACAACTTACTTCGCAAGTCTCGTACCATGCCACCACTGCATGAGCAGAAGATGTTATCATCCGATGGGATGGAGCGCATCTTGTCAACAATAGCGCGCAGCTGAAGCGCAATATCGTGCTTCTGATCAGGAGTCATAGTCGGCCAAACTTTTTCCAAAGTCTCTCCAGGCATATAGCTCATATTGATACTGGCTCCCCTGTTTGGCAGCGGGTGAGCCTCATAAACTTCAGGTACGGGAAGTTGATGCTCTCTTGCGAGGCGAAGGGCGTGGATTTCATCAATTTCGATGCCTTCCCCAGACTTGATGACCGTATTATCATCTGCAAGATTTATTAGCCGGATTTTACATAAAACTTGGGCATGGGCCAGCCATAGGTGAGACAATAACAAAATATATAGTCTGTTGAATGCATACCGCAAAGCTCAACTATGCGCCCGCCAAGTTGATGAAGGATAGTGGAGTCTATAATAGCAAATTTGTTAGTAGGCAATATAATCAAGAGCGGGCTGGGATATATACTGGGTTTCTGAGGCTGCGCCGTATACTCCGGAGGGTACTTACCCCCATTTTTTATCAGGTCTTTAAGTGGGGGACGATTTTTGGGGACGCGTATAGAAATCCCTAGTGGAGGAGGGTAGGCATCCCCGGCGAAGGAGTGAAGGGGAATCCGCAGTAGGAGTGGGAGAGGTTCCCATTTTGGTACAGAATCGTGATGCAGTTGATAGTCCAAACAGAGGTGAAGTGTTAGATCGATAGCTGAAAACAGAAAAATGAAAATGAATGTAGGTTAATGAATGATCATAAGTTCTCGGGATGTCTACGACGAAAGGGTTGCAAGTTAAGCGCCCATATATTCCAACATGTTGGAAGGAGTCCACGTGATATCAGAATCTGGCCAGTGACGGCGGGGGCGGGGTCAACAATTGGTCGTCTATGCGCTAAATTATTTAAAGCACTAGCGCGTAATGGGCAGGCACACCGCCCTGGAGATTGCCTAGCCCCATCCGATAATGCGCCATATGCGCCGATAAGAAAAATATCCAACGGCACTGCACTGAAGCTAAGACTCATCGACTTCGGAGCCCAACCACGGTGAAGCCGACTCTCAATCTTACAAGCTGCGAACATTGCGGCATACCGCCGATTAATTCCAGCCCGAGATTTTCTTCTCTTTCTGACTTTACGATGCTGTCAACTCCTTCGGTGGGCGTGCTTGGTGGGGGGCAACTGGGACGGATGATGATGGAAGCTGCAAACCGATTGAACATCCAACTCAACGTGCTCGATGCGCCCAATTCCCCGGCGAAACAGATCAGCGCCCACGATGGTCATGCCAATGGATCATTCACTGACCCCCCGTCGATGCGGAGGCTTGCGGAAACCTGCGACATCCTGACGACAGAGATTGAGCACGTTGATACCTACGCCCTCGAGGAGGTCTGCTCGAAGGTCAAGGTTGAGCCGACCTGGCGGACAATTCGTACGATTCAGGACAAGTTCAATCAGAAGGAGCATTTGTCGAAATTCGACATCCCAATGGCCGACTACCGTGAGCTGAGCAACAACACCGCTGAAGAGCTGGCCGCGATCGGAGAGGAACTTGGCTTCCCCATGATGCTCAAGTCGAAAACGCAAGCATACGACGGAAGAGGTAAGAGGCTCACGAATATATATTAGCACTTGTAACTAACCTGGTATCCCACTACAGGAAACTACTCGGTCAAGACCAAAGCAGACATCCCCGCAGCCCTCAAAGCTCTCGAGAACCGCCCACTATACGCCGAGAAATGGGCAAACTTCACAATGGAAGTAGCCGTCATCGTCGTCAAGACCAAAGACGGCGTCCTCTCCTACCCAACCGTCGAAACCGTCCAAGAAGATTCCATCTGCAAGCTCGTCTACGCCCCCGCCCGCAACATCTCCGACGAAATCAACCAGCAAGCCCAAGCCCTGGCCCGAAAAACCGTCGCCGCCTTCGACGGCCTCGGCGTCTTCGGCGTCGAAATGTTCCTCCTCCCCGATAATTCGCTCCTCCTCTGCGAGCTAGCGTGCCGCATCCACAACTCAGGCCACTACACCATCGAAGCCTGTTCGATCTCGCAATTCGAGGCCCACCTCCGCGCCATCCTTGACCTGCCCATCCCCGCACAGAGCCTCGAGATCCGCGAGCCGGCAATCATGCTGAATATCCTTGGTGGCGCAACACCAGAGGCCCATCTCCAGGTCGCTGAGCGTGCCCTCTCAATCCCGAACGCGAGCGTTCACCTCTACGGCAAGGGCGCAGGGCGTCCAGGCCGAAAGATGGGTCATGTCACCGTGACAGCCCGCACGATGGAGGAGGCGGAGCGCACCATCGCGCCACTACTTGAGTTCGTCGGCGGTGCCAACCCAGAATCCAACATCCTCTACACGCAGACCCTTCCGCGTCTCAACGTCCGCCCTACAGTGGGCGTAATAATGGGCTCCGACAGCGACCTCAAGACGCTGATTCCCGGTCTCAGGTTGCTGCGCGACTACTTCGGTATCAACCCAGAGGTAGAGATCACCTCCGCTCACAGGACACCGGAGTACATGGCTACATACAGCTCGACCGCTGCGAGCCGGGGGATTAAGGTTATCATTGCCGCGGCGGGAGGTGCAGCGCATTTACCTGGAATGGCAGCGGCATATACGGCATTGCCTGTTATTGGCGTGCCGGTGAAGGGCAGCGCGTTGGATGGGGTGGATAGTTTGTATAGCATTGTGCAGATGCCACGAGGTGCGTATTTGATCCGGTGATGAGTGAGGGGCTTTGCTAACGGTGAATAATAGGCGTCCCTGTTGCGACTGTGGGGATTAATAATAGTATTAATGCGGCGTTGTTGGCGGCGAGGATTTTGGGGGCGTTTGATGCGGGTGTACAGGCTAAGGTGGAGGCGTATGCGAAGACGGCGAAGGAGGAGAATCTCGACCTTAAGGGCGTGAAGATGAAGGAGCTGGGGTGGGATGCATATCATCAGCAGATGTAGAAGAAATGACTGCGCAGATAGATGGGAATAATACTTCCAATTGGTTCATTGTTATGTTTTATAACCTTCCACTACACGGCACAACAGCATGAGTTTAGTGGTATGGGGTGATGACGCTCAATGTTGGAGGAATATAACATCATTAGAATACAATCCCATAATTCACGATAATATATTTATACCCACAACAGGACCATCAAGACAACGTCACTATACCAGTCACATTTAGTGCACACTTTCAGAAGCCATAACATCAAATTCCTCGCTGAAAATATTTAGCAACTCCCATTCGGCAACTGATCAAAGCACATCGCAAAGCATCCACTCCAAGATTCATCCTTCCATTCCCTGCCCCATTTTCGATAAAACATATTGTAAGCAACCACGCAAATATAAAGGAGCCCTGGTCAATGAGAATTATAAAGCGACTTGCCATCCCTTCCCTTCCTTTCTCCCAAAAACTCAAAATATAAGCATAAGTGTCCATCCCCTCCCTATCGTTGCAAACCCCCGAAAAGCAGAAAATTGGTCGTAAACTCGCCTGTAGTATATGCTAATGTATAATCAGGATCAATGCAGTTCATATCATCGCGCCGGCAATTGATTGAATTGTAGTCTTTGACGGCAATGCCCAGAGCCCTCCATGAAAGTGCGTAAAGCCGGAAGATGTGCCGAGAGTATATCGATCTTCGTAAACTTGAGCAAACTGGATATAAAATAATGAAGTAATAAATAGTGGTTGCATCAAGGCCTGCCAAAAGCTGAATATGGTTCAAACGGCTCGTGAAAGCGGTTAGAAAGCACTGGCCATTGGAACATCGACTTCCTCCAGGTTCTCCTTTCTGCATATGGCCTCGCCAACCTCTTCAGGAGCGAGAACTCCGTTTCCACATGCAGACATAAGGTCGGGCATCTCATCACCCATAAAGCCCCGTATATGCTCGCCCAGAATGTTTCGCATCTGGCAAAGCTCATCATCGTCGCCTTGAGACTCGATAGCCTTGCGTATTGCCGTAGATTCGTTTACTGAGCGCATCAACGCATGTATCCTCGCCTCCTTCTCGGCCTTCTTCATTTCTTCTGGTGAGAATATAACATTCTCATCTCCATCATACTTGTACTGCTCATGACCTTCAGGTAACGCGCCCTTGATCCTAGCTTCCTCTCTGACGGCATCGCTTCCAAGTTCCGCAGGTTGGATATAGCGGCTGGTTAACGCAAACCGAAGAGTCCCATGTGGTACAACCTCATGCTCGTAGTACGTTTGAACTCCAGAACCATGCATTATAACCATGTCACCATGCTCAAGAGTCACGCGAATAACAGGAGCTTTAGTACCCTTGGCATTCTTCGAAGTAACACCCACCGCTGCCTTTGCTTTGGGGCGAAGAGACATGGTGGCCGAGGCGCCGAGTGAGAGTGTGGCTACTGTTGGGCCCAGTGTCGACTCGCCATCGTCGTGGTATCCGATGCTGCAGTCTTGAAAATACCCAATCGAAAGAAGCTCATTGAAGGGATGGAAGGGCTCTCCAACGTCAGTAAGAGTCTGTTCGCCAGCCCACGTCAATCTTTTCAAAGCCTTGACAATTACTATTGGGGCTTCACTGAATCCCCTGGATGACTGTGCGACGACAAATTTATACGGTGCACCCCAGTTGGTTGCGAAGTGATTGGTGAGAACCTCCCCACTGGAATTTGGTTGTCGTACAGGTCGCCTCTGGAGATCGAAGTCACTCTCTTGCATCAATCGGAAGAGGTCGTTGGGGCCGTCGGGCTTTCTATTGATGGCATCGCTTGACTTGAAAAGCCGGAGAACGCCTACAATGTTACCCTTAGGACCTGGCACCCCATACTCAAAGACGTTATAGGCGCCCATTGTCTTTTCCTCAAGTTTAATTCCAAATTTGGGCTCAAAGTTTTGTTGACGGTGATTCCGTGCAATATCCGACATTGTGTCCTTAACACTCATTATTTGGATAGGCAAAGAGTGAGTAAAGCCACAGCCCACCGTCTCGCAAATCCATTTTGACCATTGCTTCCGACGACTGCAGCCTTTGCACAGCGGGCACACAATACCTTGTTTGAAGGCGAATTCGGTCCCACGTTTCCCAGTTATGATCATATCGGCTTCGGTCATGAGAGGAGGCGCCAATGGCCCTGGTGCATTCCCAGTATAAGCGGTACGCTCCTTCAGAAACGTCTCTGTATATATAAGTTTTCGATCGTCAATAGGCGAATCGAAAACAAAGAACTTATCACAGGATGCCTTCAAGCAAACCCATCCCTGTTCAAATATAGCTTTGCTAATGTCACCACAAACACAGCATTTCCCCGACGCTGCTTTGATGGCACCCAGGTCGCGGTATGGACTCGGGAGAGTAGAGCCAGCTTTGGCCCACCAAGATTTCTCATCGAGGCGAATCTTCTCGATTCTCACGCACCATGTCTTGTATCCTTCTACCTTCTCCACCCAGACGTCAGTAACATGGAACCAATCGAGAATGTTATAATAGTGTGGAAGCTTTGAGGGACTTTTGGAGTTTCCTTGACCTAAATAATGGTTAGTTTATCTTCATACCAGTTACTACGAGGAGTCTGAGACTTGCCAGCAATGATTGCGACAGGACTATGCATATCCCTAGCCCGTTCGAACCCAAGACCATACGCACTTCTCTCCTGGTCTGTTGTTTGAACCATCTTGTTAGTTGCTTCATCCAGCTTTCGTCCTCCACCACTATGTAAGTCAGTTTCTTGGCATTAATTACGAATTGCAGTAGACAACTTACCATCGAGTTATGACAACTTCTTCCTCGAAAACATCGCGTTCTCTGATTTCCTTGTCAATTAAAATTGCACGGACGAGGCCATCGTGCAGATACCCCCCGGACATATATGCTCTGTAATATGGCAAAGTTTCACATAGTTGTTGTCGCTTCGATGCCCACACGGGCGGCTGGCCATATGGGGCGGGCAAGTTCTCCTGTTCTGATTGATGGTAATGGTTATACGCCCGCGGGCCCTTTTTAGAACGAACCAGGGCTTGTCCAGGCTTGGCGGGATCTTCAACGTAGGTCTCTTCGCAGCTTGAATATCCCGATGCAGGTGATCTGTGTTGCTTCTTGGCTGACAAATTACCAGAAGCGCCAGCATATTTGCGCTTTTGTTTCAAGGGGTTGCTTGCATGACCCGCCTGCTCCGTTAAATTCCATGTTGCATCGCCGTTCTGTACAATGTGGGGTGCCTTCAAGTGCTGGGAGATTTCACCAGAACGGCCCGTCATGTTGCTCAATCGTTTGTCACGAGCTGTAGTAACTGCACGTCGGCCCTTGCTATTTGCAGTGTCTTTGCTTGAATCTCCCCACTTTCGTTTTTGGGGGCGAATCGTAGTAGGCGACTGTTTTATTGAACTCCAAGTTCCATCGCCACTTTGAGAAACCATGGGTGCATTTAAATGCAGCGGGGTTATAGCCAAATTATATTCTGGATTTTTGTTGCACGCCGTTCTCATCATCACGGTTCTTATATTGCAATCTCTGCCCTTCTTGACACACGAAGAGCAGGGAAATGCTCTATCACAATTATCGTGTGTACCAGCCCGGCAGCTATATAACGTCAGAAAGCGGGTATAGGAGAGGCGCAGGAGATATACCTATCACACATAGCCGGGGCCATCCATATCCCGTCTACAAATCGGGCAACTTCAGGATTCCATCTTTTTGAAATATGACCGTCAAGCCGTGCCTTTTGGGCCAGTTCGGACAGCTCAGGGCCAATGGGAGGGTCAGTCCTGGAATCTGCATCCTCCACGGTAATATCGGTAGCAAAGTGGCCGCTAGCTCTTTTAGCTCTCTGGGGGGGGACCTAAGTAAGAAAATTATTAAATGTCACAGAAATAAACAAGCTAGAATCTATAGACTCAAATGGAGTCAAGGATGATTTATGAATGCTAACCTCCGGTGAAGAAGGGTCGACGATGTCCTCCTCGGCGTCTTCTTCGGGCGAAGACGGTGATATGACAGAAGACTCTTGCGGCGAATCAGACGAGGAGATTGAGGGAGGTGTGAAGTCGCTCAGCACTTGCTCGTCATCTGTAGAAGCAACCTCACTGAATCCAGAGTCATGGGGTGAGGGCCTTGGTTCGGCGTACTTGGAGCTGTTTGGAGGGGCTTTCTTTGACACTCCTGGAGTACGAGGTGCCGATGGAGTAGCCTTCTTTCGCGAAGGAGTCCGAACGTTGGATGGGGTTGCGGAAGCCCTTGTAGCTGTGCGTCTCGGATTATTATTCATCACTTTTTGTAGCTGCCGTGCAAACTCCTCGTCGCCCTCAAAGTAAGACATCATTGAAGATTGCACGAACGCAAAACTGAGAGACGAGGAAATAAAGATCACAGATCATGAAAAATAATAAGAAGAGACAAACGGCAGATATTTGAAGACGTGTAAGGAAAGTCAAGGTTCAAAGATATCTGTTAAGACTAGTACGATTTTAGATTGGTTATGGGCCCCAATGCAAGGTGCCAACCACCATATGGCAAAAGAATTGGAGAGGTGAGAAGGTGAGAAGGTGAATAGGCATTACATCTATACAGTGGTACAGATATGAACCACATTCACTTTATGAGAGATGAGAGGATATGAGAGAGTGAGTATGGAATGTGTTCAAACTGGTCAGAAACCAGGAGGATATGAAAGATGAAGGACGAAGAGAAGAAGGGAAAGAGAGAAAAGCGAACAAAATAGTGGCGAGAAGGTGGGATACACGAGAAATGGACGAGAAGGTGGGGGTGTGATACCCTCGATGTGTGAGGGTCTGGGATTAAGGCAGGTACAGGGTACACCGCATCCCGCTTGGGCTGTCCGCCTGCCGTTCTGCCGGTTTATCAACCCGTTGAGGGGTTAGTGGGGTGGTGGCCCGTGCAACCCCCGGCAAAATTATTCGCCCGAGCACGTTACTCGAATGGGACACGCCGATCGCAGAGCCTAGTCCTAAAAGGGACAACCGGATTCTTGAGGCATATGAGACTTTTGTCCAAGTGGCATCGAGAGTAGAACTTCGCACTTGCTTCATTCTTTCCCAATGCCACTCATGCACGCAGAATCTGGGCGCAATGCAGATGCAGGCCTGTACATACACCAACCTGATACAAAACGAGAAAGATGTAACTGCGAGAACGAGGAACGACACGATGTATAACGACGAGAACCTGAAAAAAATAAGGGCAAGACAACTTACCACGCGCTTTCCCAGTCTTCTTCCTAGAGACAACCAGCTCCAACTCAGTCTTGTCACCTGGCCTTTGCATCAAGTCCGCAATGGCAGCAACCTGGTCGTCATACGTAACCGGTGCCTTGAGTTTCGACCTGTCTCGAAGGCCCTGTATCCAATGTCAGCCAGAGTCAGATGTCAAGGACATCAAATTGTTACTTACCACTCCCGGCTCCGCTGTAGCAGACCCCAAGTCCTTTTCTGGCTGGAAATCATCTGTCTCATCCTCTCCGCCCACTTTTTTCTTCCTTCCAGTTGCTCGGCTGGCCCCCTTCAGTGGCTTGGGTCTCGCGGGTGACTTTTTTGTGACAGCTTTCGCATGGTCCGCCGCTTTTTGCGATACATTCTTCTCTTTAGGAGGTCTTCCACGAGGCCTCTTTGGCGTTTGATTCTTCTGGCGTGCCTCCCGAGACTTGGCGGGTGGGGCATTCACCTCCTGCTCCGCAGCCAGCTCCAGCTGATGTGAATTCAAAATCAAGGCGGCTTCTTCTTCGGTGAAGTCATCCGAGTCGAGATCTGAGAGCACTGAACTATTGTCACTATCCAGCTCTTCGGCGCTGCTTGGTCGAGTACCAGCTTCCGCCATAGCTCCGATGTTCGTCATCAACGGATTGTGAGTTTGTTGATCTTGTTGGATAGTTGTAGATGTATTGACTTGGGAAGTTGCAATGAACTTTGAGTTAGATAAATGGGGTGTGTTATCTGACGAACCAAGCGGGGTGGTGCTGCTCAAAGCAGGTGTTGGTGGCAGAATAATGGAAGATTCTTGTGTCTGCGGTATAATAGACTTGTCATTCAAGCTATTCGTCGATTGGAGAAAGGAAGATTGAAGCTGAGGATGTGGAGTTGTTTGATGAACGGAAGGTCGAAGCTGCTGCTGTGGAATTTGATCTAAAAGAAGTGAAGTAGATCGTGAATCATCAAGACTGCTTTGATCGTGGAAGCCGATAGAGGGTGAAGTCGGTCCAGGCCTTTGTAGTATAGACGCTGTCAAATTGTTCTGGGTGAGTTCTTCATTGAAAGACTTTGTGGATATGCTTAAATCCGTCGCAGGAGTACTCGACGAACTGTTGACCACCACGCCACACACAGAACCCTCCTGAGGCCGAGCAGTGAGGGCCTTGGAGGCGTTTATAAGCCCGTCACCTACGGTTCCTGTAGGAGACTGGTGGCAAGAAGCCTTATTTGGCCGCCGGGTTGATCTACGAGTAGATCCGAGGTTTGCTTGACTGAAGCTGAGAGAAGAGGTCTCAGCAGAACTAACGTCCGTCGCAGTAGTATCTACTCCCGTTTCAACGTAGCAATTGGACCTTTCAAGTTCGTTAACTCCAGAGGCATTAAAACTAAGTCTCGAGACTGAATTCGCTGCTTCACTGAGACTGCTCTCTGTTTTGGCCCGCTTTGGTGTTCTCTGAACCACAATCACGGATTCGACCTCTTCTGGAATTGCGGGCTGCTCGCTGTCAGAAACCCCGTCCATCATAGGCGTGTCTGAGTGGAAACCAGAGGTTTTCTTTCCAATAGAGCGTGTGTCCGTTGAGCACTCTGCCGTGGTACTTTCAATACCAGCCTGGAGGTCATTCTTTCCCTTCACAAGCTGCTCATGGCGTCTCAGCCCATGCTCGGTGTGGTTGGACTCGCTCTTTTGAACCAGTGTACTACCGGAGACTCCGCCCGGTGGCCTCCTTCTCCTCGGGGATTTGAGGATATTGTCTGTGGATATCTCATTTTCCGGTGTATCTTCCACTAGCTTGGCTTCATAGTACCAGCTGCCCGGCGCCATTTTTGGTACTGGGCCGCTCTCCCAATCTATACCTGGGAAACTGGTATTGGTATCTTCTCCAGCATACAGTCAGTATAAACATCCCATGCTGGAATAAGCTAACAAACCTGACAGAGACCCGGTATTTGGCAACGGGCCAACAGCCGGATACAGTTTGAAGCCTGCTAGTATCAATTACTCCTGCAGAGAGGACTGTAACAACAGGAGGACAGTGGCCGGCGGTCTCTTGAAATCTGGTTCCTCGCTGTCCTACCTTCATAAATGACAGGCACGCCAGGAATGGCCCTGAGTCATCCCCAAGGTGGCACCACTACTGTGTAATTGAGATTTGGCACATACAAGCACACAGGGGAATATAAGAGGTACACAGGGACAGGAAAGATGGAAGGAACAAAGCCGGACACTGAGAGAAAGAAGGGTAAATATCCTCTGAAGGTAAAAGTCTCTCACTGCTCTTGGATACTGTACTATACTATGGACATTCGGCCTCAATGATGGCGTGGTTTTTGATTCTAACCAAACTATTGTAGACTATTGTAGTCTATCGCAAGTGTCCCAAGTGCGTAACTCCTCCGGTGGAAGCCGGGACCGGATGAACCTTTGACCCGAGATATAGTAGTCAGTAGAGGTACGTACTTATCTCCGGAGTTAAAGTGGTGGTGGTCCAGGGAAGGTCCGGTGGTCCGTGCTTTCTAATATTCTATGAACACTCTGGACATTCAGCTCTTAATGATATTGAGCTTTTAATGATATTTAATGATGTTTAAATGATGGCGTGATTTTCAATTCCAACTAGGAGATAGTGATACGTATAAAATAATACAATACAATACAATACAATACAGTGCGACTCGGGATATAAAGTGCGACTCGCACTTGTATAACTCTCCGTACGCCGGTGGAGCAGTATGGTGGTCCTTGCCCCGTGCTCCGTCCTCCGTGCTTCTCCGTGCTTTCTGGGGTGTGCCTAGGGTGCTCATATCTCGGAATCCCGAGCGGCAGATGTAAGGAAACCATGAAGCATTCTTGCCTTACATCAACTCCATATCATAATATCATAACTTGTAACCCAGATTATATAGCATACATGCATATGATATGTATATATACGTCATTTGAAAGCTGAAGAGTGTTTCTACAAATAAAATCTGCTTGATATATTAGTTGGATCTTGTCTCACTAAGCACCTCGGCACGGGCTACTCGAGATTTCCCAATCAATGGGCTGCGGCAACCTGGATCGGGTAGCTCAGAAACCTGTGGGGATCCTGTGGGGATCCTTTGGGGATCCTCCCAAGAACCCCGCATTCCCCCATCTCCTCCACAATATGTATATATGTATATATATGTCCTATCCTGCCATGGCCGCCACTTGATCTTTCAGCTTCCTTCTCTCTGTCTTTCTACGGCATCTGTCTGTCTGTTTCACCGGTTTCTACTTGTACCTGTCTTGCTCTGAAGATCTCTATTCATATCAAAAGACCACCAACGCGCCCATCGTGTGTGCTGTGCGTGCTGTGCGTGCTGTGCTGCCGCTGTGTTTCTGCTTTGCGACATTGCCATCCATAAAATACCCTTATTAGATCTCTTTATTTATCGCCCAAGATGGTCTTCATACCGCCAGCAAGCTCCCCGGCAATGCTTGGTATACCCCCCGGGAGACCTATCCACCCAGCTTGAGCCAATGGCTAACCCAGGACATGACAGACATTCCCGACACTGTGTCGCTGCCGGATTTCGTACTGGACAACAAATACCGATCAGTGCCCCATGAGCAGGCGAGGAATCCATTCACGTGCGGCTTGTCAGGGAAGACATATACGTCATTGGAGTGGAAAGACAGGATCGGCTGGCTTGCCAGAGCATTCCAGAAAGAGCTGGGGTTCCAGGTCAATCAGGGGACAGAGTGGGAGAAAGTCATTGGCATCTATACTTTAAATACTGTGCGCTATACACCGACTCTGCCCGGACGTGCTCGCTACGCCGGCCGCAAAATTCCTAAGGAACGATAACTAACCATACCACTCTCCAGGTCGATACTCTAACAGTATCATTCGCAGTTCAATACCTTAACGGAGTTGCCTCACCGGCCAATGCAGCGTACTCAGCTACCGAGCTTGCATACCAGTTGAAAGCCGCTGGCGCAAAGGCCATTTTTGTGAGTTACCGCAGGTCTCACCGCAATTGGATCCCTGGGCTAATCCAAGACCCAGACCTGCATTCCTCTCATCGAAAATGCTCTCCAGGCTGCAAAAATCGTTGGAATCCCAGAAAAGCATGTCTACATACTGGAAATGGCAGATTCCTTCACAGGTGGCAAGAAGGTACCATTCAAGACGGTAGGGGAGCTCATCGAACAGGGCAAGAATTTGCCAGCTCTTGAGCCCTCGAAATGGACCCAGGGTCAAGGTGAGAGACAAACCGCGTTCCTGTGCTTCTCAAGTGGCACATCCGGATTACCAGTAAGTAGGCACTTTTGTTTCACACCACCCATGCCTAACCAAGCCATAGAAAGCAGTCATGATCTCCCACCGGAACTGCATCACGAACATCATCCAGATAACCCTTCACGAGCAATTCGCTCGCGCCGGAAAGGGGTCTAAAGGAGGACCACGCCAAGACGTAGCCCTGGGTCTTCTCCCATTCTCCCACATCTACGGCCTCGTAATCATTTGCTTGACTGGCGCATTCCGCGGCGACGAGACCATCGTACTCCCCAAGTTCGAGCTGGCGACCTTCCTCCAAGCTATCCAAGAGTACGCACCGCCCCCACCCACGCTACAACTGAACATCCCAGCTAACCCAACCTAGATACAAGATCAGCGTCCTCTTCATCGTCCCCCCCATCGTCATTGGCCTCATCAACGCCCACCAAATCTCCTCCCGCTACGACCTCACCTCCGTAGAATCACTCTTCACTGGCGCCGCCCCCCTCGGCGAGTCCACGGCCCGCGACCTCGCCAAACTACACCCAACATGGCTCATCCGCCAAGGGTACGGCATGACCGAGACCTGCACCGGCGTGTGCCTCACGACAGAAGAGGACGTCTGGTTCGGTTCCTCAGGCCACCTACTCCCCGGCTTCAAGGTTAAGATCGTGCGCCCCGACGGTTCCGAGGTGACAGCCCACGACGAGGAAGGAGAGCTGCTCGTGCAATCCCACTCCGTCGTCCTGGGGTACCTCAATAATCCCGAAGCGAACGCGGAGACTTTCCTCCCTGACACGGATGGGAATGGGCGCTGGATTCGCACGGGGGATGTGGCGATCGTGTCTGTGGCGCCGAGTGGGAATGAGCATATTACTATTACGGAGCGGATTAAGGAGCTCATCAAGGTCAATGTAAGTCCCCTTTACGTGCTGGTCTATATGTCCCAGTCTAACGAGATTAGGGCCACCAAGTCGCTCCAGCTGAGCTGGAGGCTCTTCTCCTCTCGCATCCGTCGGTTGCGGATGCGGCTGTGATTCCTGTGCCGAATGATCGTGCTGGTGAGGTTCCTCGCGCGTATGTGGTTAAGTCGGCGAAGGTGTCGGTCGAGGACAATGATAAGATTGTTAAGCGTGATATTGCCAAGTATGTGGAGGCGAATAAGAGTCGGTATAAGTGGTTGGCGGGGGGGATTGAGTTTATTGATGTTATTCCCAAGAGTCCGAGTGGGAAGATTTTGAGGAGGTTGCTGAGGGATAAGGAGAAGGAGGATAGGAGGAAGGCGGGGGTAAAGTTGTAGGGGAGGGGATGATATATTGAAAAGATATGTGAGAAGAAAGATTTTATAAATGAATATATATTAGTTTATACTCACCGGAGGATAATCCGTCAACAAACCTGGCATATACGTCAACTATGTCGTCGACAGTACGGGTAGCTATCTTACTAAATATGACCTCTCGAGAACAATTGAGGTTATGGGTTTGAAAGTGAGGAGGAATAGCCATTACATATAAGTCAGGAAATGCGCGCTTTGATAGATCGAACATTCCAGATCGACATGTCTGCATTCGCGAGTCTAAGCCTACTCGAGAACATGAGAGAGAGATGATTTCTCATTCTTTTGCTTCGTTTTGATTTGAGGGTTATGGGTGGATACCGCTATACTCCCCGTCGCCGTTTGCCCCTTTGTCACCGTTGCCCTCCTGTCACCGCCGTCCCCCTGTCACCGTTGCCCTGCTGTCACTATCGCCCCTCAAAAGACTATACCGCGATTGGGCTGTTCATCCAAGCGGCAATGTATCCTTCGACTGCGTACGTCCTGGAAACAGATGTTGGCTGCATGCTTCGAATAGTTCATGACACACGTACTGGATGTGTGGTTCTTGTGGTTCTTGTTGTTATTGATATCTCTAGTTCCGCTTTATTATATATACTATCCAGTATAGTCAGGCTTCTCGATATCTGGTTAGAGAATCCCACCTCACTGAGTCCACATAGAAGCTGCCCCTCTGCCTTGTGCAAGACGCGGCCACCACCCATTATAATGATATACCGTAGCCAGTCGTCGTCCGAGCTGGGGATCTCGCAGTTACAAGTGGGACGCATAACGTTTTACAATAAAGACAACAATGCTGTTAATACTCCCCCCCTCACAAAATCCCACACACCTTTCATACCCTAATCACTGAAAACCTTCCATATATTTCACATCTCAATTCCCAAGTCTATCTCAATATACCTCATTACCCTCCTCCCACCATCTCCTCCTCCTCTTCCCCTTCCCACCCCCCCCCACCCCCCTATCCACACACCACACCAACAAACAAAGGCACACACACAATCTATACAAAAAAAAAAGTCCCCTTCCCCCTCCGCCCAAACCACACCGTCGCCCAAACACCAATCCCCGCACTCGGACCAGCAAACGGGGGAGCAAACGAGACCATACAAGACCAGACAAGACAAAGACATGACCAACCCTCCTCCTCCCCCGCCCTCCCTCCCAAACGCCATCAACAAATGCCGCAGAACAAACAGACGGGAATAGAAATGCACACTTACGACATAAGACATAGGCCAGTCCCAAAAAGACAAACCAAACAACCCCCGGGCAAAAATAAAACTAAAAACACCCAGCCCATTTTTTGGTACCCGCCCGCCCTGTATTTGGAAGGAAGAAGAAGAACAAAAAGTCCCCTCCAACGTACCGCGCGCGTGCTAGACTTTGGTCTCGTTTCATTCTTAAAAAATCGAAGGAAAAAAACAGGAGACGAGTGAGTGCTCTCTGTCCCTTTTCTCTCCTTTCCTCATTTCTGTTCTGATTTCTGATCTGTGACTTGTGATTTTTTTGGTGCGAATTTCATTTCCTGTTTTTTCTCTTCATATGCTGTACTAAAAAACCTGGGCGGTGGCTTATACGTCCCGAGTCAAGAGGCGCCGCTACCGAACTCCCCCTAACCCCCCCGCACCATTTCCCTATAACGCTCCATTTATCTTTTTCCCCAATTCCAATTCTAGTACAAAGGTGGAGGGAAGTGTCTCCCATTTCCCATTCCCGCCACCACCACCACCACCACCACCAACCACCCGCGCGGCTCGTGGGCGCGCGCAGGGGAGGCGGGGGGGGATCGATTTTCCTACCTACTCACACAAAGCGACGCGAGGGGCTCGCATGGCCCCGCATCCTATTCCCCCATCTGGAAAGCCGCAGCAAGCGAGCAGTCCGGGTCCGTCCCATGACATCCAGAGGAGCCCATATACATCGCATCACAACCAAACAGCACGTCTATAAAACTACCCCCCCTTCCTATCGGCCTCGAACCTCGGCAGCTCCTCCGCCTCTGCATTACCGCCGCCCTTTCCTGTCCCGTCCTGACCTCTCCGCTTCCCCTTCTGTATCTGCTGCCAGGTCCCTACGCCGCCGCCCTCGCTCTTGGCGCCGCGTGTATGCCCATTCGGCATCCCGATCCCCTTATTCCCATTCGCGAGTGGCGACGGATTGCGCCCCGCGTTCCCCAACGACCCCGCGCTCTCGCGCAGTGGTGACGGCGGCGGCGCAAACGCAGAAGAATCGGTTTTGCGGCTCGCGGTCGGCGAGGGCGAGCGCGTCTCGAAGACGGGGGAGAGATGCGGGACGTCACGTAGAGCGTCCGCCTTCTGCGGGCCTAGGTCCAGTGGCGACATCCCCGTTCCCTGGGACCGGGATGGTCGGTTGCGGACACTCGGTGAGGAGGGTTGAGCAGGAGTTGACGTGCCCGGGGATATAGCGCCGGTCTGGGTTGCGTGGCTATAGCTTTGGGCCGAGGATGGCGCAAAGTTAGAAGTCGACGGTGGCCCGAGATGGGTCTCCACGGCAGGTCTTTGCCTCTGCCGAGAGGACGGCGATGGTTCTCTCTCGGACCTATTTCTAGGTGGCAGCGACACTGCGAGTCCCGAATTCTGCGGGGGTTGCATGTTCCTACTATCGGCGTCTTGAGGTGTCAGATACAATGAATCAACAGAAGCACCTAATGCATCATGATATTGATCCTCTGAAGAGCTTCCACTGGCAGATGACGGTGCCCCCGATGCGCGGGAGTGAGGTATCGAGAAGGATCCATTCACGATTAGAGGCGATAGCTCATTCAGACTCCGGACATTGGTATTCGATACCGCATGGGGAACTCCTCCATACGCAGCAGGTATGGCTCTCGCCCCCGTAGTGTAACCGCGATCCCGCCCAAGTGGAGATGGTGACCTTGAAGTACGGCGCAAGCGCTCGAGTATAGCCTGAGGGAACTGCTCTGTGGATAACCTGCGGTGACCCGGTGACGCGGAGACCGTGGAATGGAAATTGGACTCTATAGGGTTCTGGTAAATTATCGACCCGTTCAATCCATAGCCCTTGTAGTCCTTTTCAAACCCGCCAGCTGGCAGCGAATCCGCTCGGCTAGCCACCGAGTCGGTGTCGAACCCGGGTCTGCCGTTCTCATTCGCACTTGGGGGATGCGATGTTATGTCACCAGGATGCAACGGCGAATACGATTGCTGACCTTCCATCCCATACTGCGTGAGAATGGGCGACAGGGTCGTGCGAGCAGCAGGCGTAGAGTGAGACCTGGCTGAGCTATTCGACACCGCACCACCGGGTCCCGATCCGCTGGTCACACTTGACCTGTGCAGACTGCGTCGCAATTCTGGCACAGCAGATGGGATTGCGGGGGATGAGGGGTAAGTGTTCGGGCCTTGTTGTGGTCCAAACCCGGCGGGGTACTGGAACGAGACAGAGGGATAGTAGTACAGTGGTGCAGTTAACGGGGGGTTGTCGAACGACATCCCTCGATTCCTGTCGGCTGCTTGCTGCGATGTAACCGGAGCGTTCGGCTGTAACCTATGCGTTTGAGCAAACGCCTCCATACGCTGTTGGCCTTGCGCGTAGTTCTGCTCTTGGCTGTACAGCTGGAGCCTGAGGAGGTTGTCCTTTTGTGCCTCCAAAGTCATGTACAACTCATGAAGCTGCAGCTGGGCTTGTTGATTCTGAATCCATGTTTCGCTGGGCGACATTCCTTGGGGAGTGGCCAACGGAGGATAGCCATTGCTGCCATCATACGTAGCACTTGAAGCCCGACGGCCTCCTTGGTTATTCCTGTTGTGGTTGGTGTTTCGACCACGTCCGCCATTACCCCCGCCACGGCCACCACCTCTGGACTGAGACACACTCCGCACAACAACTGGGCGAGAAGCAGTCGGCTTCTCCCATACCCTCTCTTCCTCCTTGGGGAACACGTATTGCTCGCAGCACTCATCCAGTTTCGTCTCGGCAATCAGATCGAAGGCTCGTCGTAACTCCAAATGTAGGCCTCGGAATGTGAAGTCGTCAGCCGTGTTCCCCAGATTGCGCCCGACGTTGAACGGCTCCTCGACACATAACCTGTTGTTATTTGCCAGGTTCCAGCCCTTCTCTTGTTTTGACACTAGCTTCCCATTTCTAACGGAAAGAACGTGCTTGTCGTAGTCAAGCTCGTGAGCATAAAATCGAAAAAACCGGAACAAGAGCTCCCCTAAGCTCTGCTTGCTGGACTTGCCACATTCTCGTAATGCCTCCAAGTCGTCGGCAAATGCGCTTTCGTGTCCATCGGCCTGGGGCAATCGTTGGTGCTGTGGGTCATGAAGAACAGGAAGTACCGGCGGTTCTTGTAGTTGGAGGAAGTTGATGATCATGCATATCCATGTATACGAGCTGAGGGTTCCACCATAGGCTAGTTATTGTCAGCAAATATAACCCCCGCGATAGTCAGCCAGCAGCTCTTACCCGCATCATTAAGTATCCTCCTCTTCGTCCAGTGTTTTATAATCATCGCAAGAGGCCGTACTCGAGGGTCAACCTGTACGTAGGTCTTGATCATTCGCGTATTTTCCAACGCCAATGTGTTGTTTACGTTCATGTCGCATGCGAGGCCGAGTTCCGGGTCCCAGATCTTCACGATTGGTACCTTTGCTGTCGAGACGCAGTTGACTTTCGTCATTCCATCTGGGAAGATCAGCGGTGTCTCGCTACAGGGGGGGTCGGGTACAACTTACTTCGATACAGTAAATCAGCGAGCATGCAGACTCGTTCGAGCTCCTTCCACTCGGTTGTAATGCAGATGTCAACTGTTCCCGTTAGCCTTGCCATGCGTCGTAGTGGATTGGTGAATCGTAGACATACCGTCAGATTCATCGGTGCAAAGAAGATTGCCCGATGACCCAAAGACATGAACTTTTATATCGTGGCCCGGCCACTCCGTATTCAGCAGATGTTCCAATTTTTGTACAAATCGTTGCCTCTTCGCCTCGCTCTCGTCGGTGGGCAGCAGCTCGGCATACAGCTTCTCCATGTCCGCCGTGAGCTTCTTGTCTTCGTCTGGTGACAGTTTCGCCTTTATACTCGACTGCTTCGGCTGATCCAACCTCTCGCTACCCAGGCTGTAGGGCATTCGCCTCCTCGAGTGTGCCATCCCCGTCTCGTGTGTGCAT